CACGGAACTTCAAATCTTGGTTCCTGATCCAAAATCCTCACCAAATTGAACAGTACACTTGGCATTTAACCACTGACACATGAGCTTAAGGCAAAATGCCTGGTTTTCCTGGATAAGCAATTTGTAATAACCTGTGGCTCTATTCCCTGTACACACACAACATACAGTTCAACAATGCAAGTGTGAAGCACCAAAGTTTGCTTAGTTGGCACACCTTCATCTCCAAACACAATTCTTAACCTAGTGAGAAAATAATAGACCTCCATTTACTTCACACACCACTAAAATATTAGGTAACGAAAGGGAAAAATCACAAGAGGACGTGTCCGTTGTCACCATATAAGAAGAGCTATATAAAGAAGAGCTGGGAAGGAAGAGGTGGGATTTATTTTAGATTTCATAGCAATAAGAGGGGCAGGGACATGAATGGCCATGAAGGTGTGCTAAAACACAAAGATGGTATCTTCATACCATCAGCTTCACATTATCATCACAGTTATGAATTCATACAAATGGGTTTAAATAACCACTTAACAAATTGTCTATGTAGAATTTCATGTGCAAATACTTACAATCAAGATTTTTGGTATCCAGAAAATTATTAGGCTGACCTTTTTGAGATAGGTCTTGTATGACCTAGTAAACGCCAACATCAGTGTTAAATATCGTAACACAGTACATTCCTCTGGGCTTTATGTTGTTGGAAAAAGTGACACAAAGTATTACCCATTAATTTTTGTACCCCAGTCAGAGAAGTACCTTGCAAATTATTAATTTCTTGTTCATTTGGGGAAAAATATCCTAGTACACCAGTGCTTACTTTGTTTGGAGCACATTTTATACATTAAGCTTAATTTTGGATTTTTTTTTCCTTTCAGTTCTGATCCCTTTTCATAAGCCAAAGTTTATCTTTGGGACAAAACCTGCAATTACCCATAGAAAGCTTTTCAGCATGAGATTTTTCCTTTGTGTCACCAAATTTTCAGGAGATGTATGTCAGCACATGGCAAAAACTGATAGGGGGATATGTTCACCAAAGCTATTCAGGAGTTAAACGTGCTTGTACAATAGCAAAAATGTGCAAATTGTGCTTGCATGTGCAGAAATGTACAGAACAAATATAAGACCTAATGTAGCTGAATATTTTAAATCCTTGTTGATTTCTGTGAAGCAGAAGCTACTCAGTGTCTTGGAAGACATCATCAAGACCTGGCAAGATCATTAGGAAAGACTGTTCCACACAGCATGCACATACTGAAGTGCTTGGGAAACTGCTTGGAATCTTCCAGGATTTGCTTTCTTTTGAAAATCATGCCCTGGGACTCAGTAATCAGCTAAATTAGCTCTGCATAGGCTTTTTGTTGTTGGAAATTATCCCTGATGGGCCTTTTCATGATGACTAGAGATTTGGTCATAGTTCAGACTCAAATTCCTCAGGAGTACTTTAGAGTTTACCCAGTTCTAAAGACCGAGTAATTAAAAAAATAAAGTAAGGCTTTGTATGGTTCACTAAGTATGTTAATTGCATGACAAGTTTCAACTAAAATTTTACACAATAAAAATATTTCATGTTTTTTTCCCTTGCTGAAGCAAAATTTTACGGGAAAGTTACTTTGTCTGTTATCTCTGCAATATTTGTATTTAAAACTTGTATTATTTTTTTTCCCCCAGAGGGTCTTAATTAGACAGCAACCATTTAAAACTTGACATTTGATTTTTCCAGACTAACCAAAAGGAGGTATATATTTGTTGAGAAAATGAGATTATTTCACCAATGTAACAAGTGGCAAGGACTATCATGTGCAGATGCCTTACTCACATGGATAAATGTAAGTCTCTCAGATTGCATATAATAGATTAGGAACTACATCTGCAAAAGTGGTTGCTATCTTAGTGGAGTGGAGCTGCAAAGAGCAGATCTCAGACGGTAAATACTTTCTGGGAATTCTGCCACAAAAACTTTGAGCAAATCTTTATTTTATTTAAAATGTTCAGAGCTAAGCATCAAACATTCCACAGAAAAGGAACATAGAGAATAGTTGGGTTTCTGCAGATACAGCAAGTCAAATTCTTTCTCCTGTAAGTAATTACAATTCTAGAAATTACTGTCAGTCTTGCTGGAGCTTTGCCTGTATACACGAGAAGCAACATCTGATCTGGGTGCTTTTCTGACCCCTCTTTTTTTTTTTTTTTTTTTTTTTTTTGAAAAAATTGGTTTCTGTTTGGATGGTTAAAATATCTGATGGATGGTTTCAAATATCAGAAAAATGCTGTTTAAAATACCAGGCAACCGAATTGTCCATTGTAGTATGGTATTTCCAATTGTGATTATTTCAAAGGAAAAAGGGTTTTTAATACCTCATGGGATCAGGCTCCTGTTGATTTATGAATCCACAGAAACCTAACCACTTCATAAATGAAACAGTCATAGTACCACATTAATTCTGCTATATTTTGGACTTTATTCTCTCATCCACTTTTTCTAGTACTCAAATGTAACAAGTAATTTCAGCTGGAACATATTTGTGTTCACATTTTACTCAATTCTTGTGAAAGTTCATTATGAAATTTCATTTCATGACCATTTTGGCCTGACCAAAAGAAATGATTGTTTTATCAATTATGTCTGTGCTCAGTAGTGGTCAGCTTAGAAACCACTGTCTATCAAACAAAGTCTAAAGAATGTTCTTACTACTCTATTTCCTGAAGATTCTAACAGATATTTGAGCAATCTTAGCAATTCCTATGAGTTTGTACCACATAAAAGCTTCCTGGTACAATGGAAGCTGTGTCACCCAGCTTCCAGAAATTCTGTTTATAAAATGTCAGTAATTTCACCTGAGCGAACAGCATAAAGCCATCCACTGATAAGACAACCCAGCAAACTTATCAATCAAATCCTAGCCAGTATCGCTGCCAGTGAGCTTCAAGACAAAGTCTAAATCAGATTTTCAGAGAAAACAGAAATTCTAGCAGAATTTCCAAATGACCTAAATAATTTCAGTGTGAGCAGCAAAACACTGCCACCTAGGGAGCCAAAGGAAAGGCAATTATCAGTCATTTAAATAAACCGACCATGAATGGCAGCATACATTTAAGTGGTGTACTTAATTGAGTACAATTGTGAATTTTTTTTTCAGTTACAGAGCTTCCTGCTCCATTAAAAAAAAAAAATCCAAAAAACAAAAAACATTCTATTTCAATGCATTTTCTTTTGAAATAATTTAATTTTTCCATATTTAAAACAAGGGCTACATCACTTATGCTGTGGGGATCACAGTGCACCCTTTGGCGTGGCACAGACCACCCAGCTGGATTACCTTGCACCCAGTTTTGATGATCCCACAACCTTACAATAAGCAACCCTGCAATATTTCTTTTACACATTCAGTTTTGATGTGGGAAGTGAGAGCCCTACCAAGTGGCAGTTCTGCAGGTTATTCCCTTGTACCTTCCTGCAGAATTGAAGGACACCTTTTTCTGGGACAGAGAGCAAAAGGCCTGATAACTACTTTTGAAGTCGTCTGAAAGCCTCTGTTCGTGTGCAGTCTTACACAGCTGAAAGAAACAGTGTTTGTTTCAAAGAAGGTTTGTGAAGAAAACTCCTCTATTTTTTTGTTTCATTTTTCAGAATTGAAACACATACATTGAATAAATGTATAGCAGCTATACTGAGTTCGATTAAAGCTGAACAGACAGAACAAGATCCTTAAAATCTAACATAAGTTGTGTTTTCATTTTGTGTGATACTCATCATCTTCTTAGAGGCACTTGTGTTCACTGCCAGCTGTCAATGTCCTGCACAGTTAAACTTCTGGTTCCATTGAAACTCAGTGTGAACATCTTCAGTTTGCGTAAGAGCCAATGAGTGGAGGAGATGTATTGGCATATTTGCATCACGATTATTTGACAACATGTTCCAAATCAGAGTTCTCTCCAGTGAAAAAAACCCCACCAAAACAAACAACTTATTCCAAACACTGTTTATTTAATTTCGCACAAAGCTGAATTTGATCTCTTCTTTCCCAGAGTGGCCTCTTAGAATGCACTTTATTAAGACAAATTAATCAATAAACGTGGTCATTCAACCAATCAGATCTTTCATTCCAAGAAATCAATAGATTCCAAAGGATGGCTTCCTTTGGAAGCGACCAGAAACTAGTAGGTGCTATTTTCAGAATTGTTGCACTACCAAGTTAGGTTTTATGGATGGTCCTGCACTTACTGACACATCTCTCATCCGGGTTGCCTCCATTTCCCGGCTCTTTCCCCACTGACATTGCCGATGCTCCTGGTGATACTGCTTTTGAAAGCCATTTCCTTTTCTGCTGATGATACAGGTTCTGCTGAGCTAATGAAATTGCTATGGTCGCTGCTAATGGCCCTGAACGGTTACTTCTCTTCCTTTCCCAAGTACTTCTATTTTTATTCTGATTTTACACCCCCTAGGGTCCTGGGAAAAAAGAAAAAAATGGCACGTGGGTAAGTACCTCACGGCCCTTGTGACCACAAACGACAGGGGGGATGATGAGCGGGAGCTCTGCAGCTCTCCCTGAGCTCCAGACCGTCCCAGAGCAGGGACAATTCCTCGCACCGCTTCCTTCCTCCAGCACCAGAGAGGGGAAGCGCTGGGGCGGCTGCGGGAAAGGGTCACGCTTTGTGCGGCAGAGCTTTCCCTCCTGCCAGCAGCCTGGGACGGGGCTGGGGCGCCGAGCCCCAGCCGAAAAGCAGGAAAGCTCCCAAAGCCCCGGTGCCTGCGAGGCCAGCACTGCCTCACCCAGCACGACCGGCTCAAGCTGCCGGGGATCGGAGGAAAGGGGGCAGCGAACTCCCCGCCCCGCGGGGCCTCCCCCGCGCTCTCTCGGCCGCAGCAGCGCTGCCCGGCGCCGACCCCCGGGCGCGGCGGGCGGAAGGAGGGAAGCAGGGAGGGAAGCAGGAGGGGCGGCGGAGCGGCGCCAGCGCTGTCCCGCCTCCTCCCGCACAGCCCAGTCTCCCCTCCGCCTCCATTTCCCGGCGTGCGGCGCGGGCGCGGGGCAGGAAGTCCCGTGCGCCTGAGTCAGGGGCGGCCGGGCGGCTGCTGCCGGGGTCGGCGGCGATGGCGCTAGAGACCCTGTCCCCGGACTGGGAGTTCGACCGCCTCGACGACGGCTCGCAGAGTGAGCGCCCGCGGAGGGCGGGCCGGACGGGGCCGGCGGGGTGCGGCGGGAGCCACCTCGGAGCGGGGGGAGGCGCGGGCTGAGCAGACCCGGCTTCCCCCGGACCGCCCCGCTGCATCCCCGCCGGGAACGGAAGGGAGGGAGGGAGGAGGAAGCGGTCGCGGGAGCTGAGCGGGGTCTCCCGCCCCCCGCGGACCCTGCCCCGCGCCCCGCCGCCAGCCCAGCGCTGGTCCCCTGCGGCCAGGCCTGCGGGGGTGGGCGGCCGCCGTGACCTTCTTTGCTCTCACCACCCTCTCCGTAGCTGTCGGGGCTGTGTTGGGGTGGGGGGAGTGGCTTTTCCAGCCCTTCATCCTTTGCTCCCTCGGGGGAGTCGCCTGCGGTGCCCCCCGTGCGGCGGGGAGGGCCAGGCTGCTTTTGCCACCCAGTCTGTTCTCGCACTAACCGGGCTTGTCGTGGGAAGGGTGTTTCTTTCCTTCCCGGTCATTTCTCATGGCCCGCGAATTTTTGTAGTGGCTTCCTTGGTTATCCAGAGAAGTCACATCAAGATATGTTGTGAGCAGTTAGTTGTACTCAGCTTTCATTGGTAAAGGCTCTCTGTCACGGGAGGCGGGCAGTCGCTTGCAGTTTCACCTTTAAAATACAACTGAATAAGATCTTCAGCGATGCTGAAGTCTTTCACGGTGGGTTCGTGTGCCCGTCAAAATACACGTTTTACTCAGCCTGTGGAGGTGACCTAGTTTCTAAACAGGGAACTTATACGGTTGTCACACTGTAATACACGCTGTAAATTGAACTGTGCCAAATTAATTATACCAGGTGTTGCTGTGAAAATATGTCACTCATGGACCAACTGTTTCACATATAATGTTATCCCAGGGGATGACACTGTTTATGCCATGTTCATTTAGTCTGGATTTCAGTGGAAGCTGAAGCTGTCCTGAGCAGAGCTTTTTATCAGTTCTCTAGTTGTAGCTTTTTACTCAAAATGCCAGTTCTCTGCTGGTTTGACCATGACATGAAATAAAACTCCAGAAAATTTACATGACTTAATATGCCCCGTTATTACCATCTCAAGGGTGAAGAAACAGGCTGATCTTCCCTCTAGAACAGCACACAGTTTTTCTAGAGAAAATCCAAAGAATAATCGTGTGACTTGAAAGGCATTTTTTGTTCTTTTTGTCTACTTTCACTTTGTATCACTAACATTAAGCAATTACAACTTTCTCAACTGAGGACATAAGTCTAGTTTGTAAGTCTAGTTTACTACATCTCTGTCCTGGATATGTATGGCTATGGCACTTGCGAATCTTGCTGCCAGTGACTTCATTGAATATTGATATTGCTGATTTTATGGAAGAAGTTAAGATTAAGTTGAGGGATCTGTGCTGCTGAATTGATCTCTTGTACTGTTCCGACTATAATGTTTTAGTTTTATCAGCTGAGAAGAAACTAAATCAAACTTTCTTATACCTTATCAAGTATGTATGCTGCTCAGAAGAAATGGGTGATATTTGCTTTCTATGATTTCATTTTCTTCCTCTGTGTGAGTCAGTTTATTTAGGAAAAATGCTCTGCATCTTAGAAAGCTTCTCTCACCTCCCAAGGAATTTTTTATCTTTGCAACTCTGCCTATCTCTGGCTAGCTAAGAGCTTCTACTCTCTTGTCTCGCTAAGAAAGTGAGAAATTATTCCTGTCTCTTATTTTATAGATGATCAGTACAAGGTAGCAAATTGATGGCTGTCAATAATTAAGTATTTGGAAGTATTTAATGAGCTGTAGTGTTGCTCAAATCCATAATTTGTCTGCTAGAAATGTGACAGTCTGTGAATCTAGCCGAGTGCTGTTGTGAGGTTTTGTTTGAGAAATGCTCAGTGGTTTGGTTCATAGAAACTGATTTCAGCAGCAATGCAAATTTCCTACTCTTGTATGACTTTGAAGTTTTTTCTGTTCTTCCTATAAAGCCCCAGTGTCTGTCAGGTTTTTTTTGTTCTTAGTTTGTCTTTTGTGTGAAGGGAGGAGATGTGATGGGGGAAGTACCAGAGCATACCTCTTTAATGTCTCCCCTACTCTGGATTTTGTAGCGGTAAAGCACTGAAGCTGACATGGTGGCTGGTTAAAATCCGTTCAGCAGGGCTGTGCATCTATGAGTGTTTTACTGGTTTGCTGCAGCAGAGCTTACAGAAGGTGCACTGGAAAGAACCTGAAGGATGAGATGGACTTGATGGAATAGAATAGTACAATGACACAGCTTAAGGGCTACACATCAGTGCCTGGAGTGCTGCTGATGGAGGGTGTTTTACTCACTTCTTTATTCTTCTCCTGTGTGAAATTCAGTCTCCTGATCTTGACGAGCCTGTGCGCTGTCTAGGCTGCAGGTGGTACTAGAACTCAATGGCACTGATGCCATTATTGTGGGAGAGTGCGCTGTGCTCCTTGGGTCGGCTTTGCAGTCTGCGTGCCTTTATGGTTCGCATTGCTGCTGCTTTCAAAGTACTATCTTAAAATTAATTCAGGTCTTCACTGCAGTAATTTCTCCTTCTCAGTCTCAACCTCCCTGCACGTAGTCCTTTTCATCTTTCCCTTATCAATTTGTCTTTATTCATTCTTCCTTTTCTACCTGGTGCAGTTTCTCAGATATTTTCTTTCTGCAAAAAATGTTTCAATGGTGATTGATTCAGCAGTGCTCTCCCACTGAAGTAGCTGTCAGCTACCATTTGGCTCATTTGTTTGCAGTGACAATGACTAAAAGGTTGAACAGGCAGAATAAAAGAATATATAATTTTTAACTTTCTAGGCCAGTCTACTTGCTGAAATGCGAAAAGGGCACATATAAAGCTATGTGACAGCTGAATTCTTGTGTAAGAAAAGTTCGGTTGTCCAGCTGACCTTCATTCTCTAACTTTTTTTTAGATAATCCTATTTCCAACAAATAGCAGAAGATCACAAGCTGTTAGATTTCTTATCTAATTATGGGAAAGACACTTTAGTCTTTACATGAAAAAGGACTGTACTTCCTGAGTGTAGGAGCCTTGAACTGTAATCATTTACTCTGTGGTTCAGATTGTGCAGCTAAGTAAATGAGTATAATTTGAGGAGGAGTGGGGAGCATCTTAATATGAGAAATAAAAAAGACCAGGATAGAGAGCATGAAACTCTTTTGCACCAATTGTCTTTAGATTTACTTTGCTACTTAAGACCACTGTGGTTTGTGTTTGACCAGCTGAATGTTAGCCTTTGAACCTACTTGTCCCTTTGAACCTACTTGCCCCTGACACTAACAGGACAGCTGTGCATTTCAATGCCCAGCAGAAGAAAAATTCTGCCTGAGAAGGGTGAATTTGAAAGTGGGAGGGAATGACTAAAAGCCATAAGCTTTCCATGTAATGCTCAAATAACTCACTGAGAGGTACCAGGGAGAAGTGGAAAGAGGATTGCTGGAAATTCAGCTGCTGCTCAGGCTGAAATTATTAGACCCATTGCCTCAAAGTTCTTATATAAATGCATTTGTACTGGCTCAGCTGATGGGTAGGGTCACCTGCTGTGCTACAGTTTCCACAGTAATTTCTTTGCTCAGCACCTTATGTGATTGTTAAGGTCTTAGTTTAACATTACATGTACCTTGGAAAAAAAAATTTCTGCATACTGCTTAGATGTTTGAAACTCTTCAAGTAGTATTTGCATTTCTTTTAAACCAACACTAAGTTTTAGGATTGTTTTTAAACAAATAAGAACTTTGTATGAAATCTGCATTTTATTAAAGAAAAATGCCACAGCAAAATGAGGAATACAGGACTAAAGCTAAATAGCAAGATATTAAATGTTTTAATAACATTTTTTGATATTGCAGTTTATTGAATTGTTTTTAAAACTGTACTAATGTTATCAATTCTCAGAAATTCATGCTGAAGTGCAGTTGAAGAATTATGGAAAATTCCTTGAGGAATATACATCTCAGCTAAAGAGAATTGAAGATGCTTTGGATGACTCTGTTGGAGATGTTTGGGACTTCAGTCTGGATCCCATTGCTTTAAAGGTCTTCATATTTTTAATATACTCTGTTACTTTCCTAGTTTGTCCTTTCCTTCAAAACCTCCGAAGTAAAAGCTTGATACATTTGTGCTCTTAAAATTTTGACTTGTGTGTTTGAGAAAACTATCCAATACTATTTTAATTATCAAGTAATTAATAAATTGGTGCATATCATATGAGAAGAAGCTTTCACATTATTATTTTCTAGTCTTAGGGATACTAGATGAAGTTGAATGAATTTCTAATTTTTCATGTGCTGGGAAGGCTGGTTGCAGCAGACTTCTCCCCTGTGACTGTTAGTGTTTTTGTCTGGGGCTCCAGGAGTGCTCACTAATAGTTGTAAAACTGCACAGTGAACTTTGTGTGTATTTGTAGGTTGTGTTTTGACCTAATGGCCTTGGTACAGTATTGGCTGTTTTCTTGGTCTCAAATTCTGTGTCCTCTGTGGAGCATTAGCTTTTCCTTTTCACTGAATTTGCAGAAATAAATTAAAAGCACTTTTGTTGCCGTGTGAAACTTGTCTGTGCTGAAGGTGCACTCCCAAGCAATCATCTGTCTGAATAATTTGGATAAATTATGTGTAGAGCCACCACAGTACTGCATGTTTATAGACTAGTTAAAATCAGGCTGACTTAAGTACATATTGTCATTGCCTGCATACAGATGTATTTTCTGCTTCCTGTTTCTGGCATTTGGAATTATTAATTCATGTTTTAGTTTTCCTGAGCTTTTTTTCTCCTACATATGCCATAATGATCATGTTTTTGCTTTGCAAGTTTTGTAAGTAAATTGTTGTAAATGCTATGTAATATACCTGGTTATTTGTCTGCCTAAAGTGAAAGGAAAGGTATTTCCATGTGAACGTGAAGGGTTCCTGCAGTGCGGGCTGCCAGTAATGTGCAATTGTGGCTCTCTTATTACTGACCCTATTTCAGATTAAACTGGTGGAATACTTGTCTAGTTGGATGAATGTATTTTTGAGTAATGTTTTCTGAAGTTGCTGATTTGTTTTTCTGTTTGGTTGTTTTGTGGTTTTTTGTTTGCTTTTTATTTTAATTTTAGCTTTTGCCATATGAACAGTCCTCCCTACTGGAGCTCATAAAGACAGAAAACAAGGTAAGCACTTTATGCTTAAAGGAAAAAAAAAAGTTATTCAACCTCAATCCAAGCCCTCTAAATGTGTGAACTTGTTTGTAATCTGTGTGATTTTTTTCCTCACTTTGTGTCTAGGTTCTAAACAAAGTTATAACAGTGTATGCTGCTCTTTGCTGTGAAATCAAGAAGTTAAAATATGAGGTAAATTCAGCTGACTTTTATTATTGTATATGAAAAGGTTTGCAGTTTGGCATGCTCATATATACATTTAATTTTGTCAATAAAGAAACAAGACGTGTCTAAATTATTTTGTAGCTTGATTACATATATCCTGTTTATTAAAAAACAAATTTCTGCTTTCGTTGTTAGGCGGAAACTAAATTTTATAATGGCCTCTTGTTTTATGGAGAAGGAGGTAAGTAGCTCCTTTTACTATAAAAGTATGTAGTTTTATATTATTGCTTCAGGTTACATTAAATGCTACAATAACTGTAATTTTATTTTATGGATACATGCTTTCTCTGTGATGCACACCAAATAGAGAACTTTGAGGGTATAGGGATATATGTTAGTGTCTTGTAGCTGTCCTGAGTTAGCTAAAGATTTATCTTAAGATTTATCAGGTTTATCTGTAAAGCCCTGCAGTAAGTATTGTTACATGAACAGGAAATTTTGTTGCAGCCTTATTTACACGGGAAGTAGGGAGTGTGAGCTCCCTACATGCAGCTTGTCCGCTGTAGCAGCTATTTTGCAAGGTATAGCACTGAAAACATGTTTTTCACATGTAAACTCATCCTAAACCAACTTATTTCCTTTTGGAACTACATTTGGCATCGGCTGTAGTAAAACAATAAATCTGTGATTTAACTGTAGTAAAACAGTGAAACCATTAAAAAATAACTTGGCCCAAGTCCTGCCCTCTTCACTTAGTGTGTTGGTATCACCTCCCCTTGCAGTGCAGGTAACTCACACTACGTCTTTAGACCATGGCATAAGATAGGAGGGGCCCAAGTCGTTGTAAGTCAGTTCACAAATCGTGAGGCACTGCTTCAGGTGACAGCTTTTTGCCTTGAAGTTAAACTGGTGATTCCTGAATGACTGGCCTTAAGCTTCCACCTCAAGGGATGCTAGTGTGGGAATAAGCACAGATCTTTGTCATAAGACAGAAATATCAGAGAATGTGAAAACTTGGAGCTCAGGACTGTTTATCACACTTTTAAGTGCTATATAAGATAACTGTTGTGCTTAAGGAGCATGGAAACGTGGGGGATTTGTTAGCTTGTTATGTGGGAGGTTTTTTGGGGTGTGTGTGTTTGGGTTTTTTTCCTTTTTTTTCTTAGCAGACTTGCATGTCTTATCAGATATGGTTTTAAATATTTTAAAGTCATATGCTGCCAAAATGATACTGGGAGATCCCTCAGAATTTTCCATGTCTCTAGTGTGAAAAAGCCAGAGTATAGCAGATTATTATGTTACAGCAGCAGTTTGTTCCTGATGGGTGTTGTGCAGAGAATGCTTGGGAATGGCAGGAACTTAGAGGTCAGCCTTCTCAGGGTTAGGTAGGAATGCAGAAATGATGTTCTTTATTTCCATATCACTACTTGTAGCATTTTTTCTGATAAAAGCAAGCTTGCTTTCTTTAAACAACTGGCAAAGTTACTGGCTCAAGGATGATTGAAATTTAAACAAATACTATGCTGGCTTTTTCCATCTATATAAAGAAAACTTTTTTCCCCATCTTGTCATTGCAGTGGCTAGGACTAGTCTAGGAACTTCAGGTGGTTGGGTGGGGTTTTTTGGGACATACACTGAAGAGATTAAAGGTTGCATAAAATGTGTAAATGGGAAGCAAAGCAATGTTTAGTATCCTGTCCCAGAGCTCCATGTTAGAGAAAAATGGAGACTCCTTTAATCTCTGACAGCTGTAAAAGAATATATTTTATGTAGCAAGAAGACCTGCATTTCTTAGGCAGGTAAACTTGTAATTTTAAGTGAACTTTTCTTGCTTAGAGTGACCCAGAAGAAAAATCTCAAGTCTAGAGCATCCATTTGTTGTCACATTAAAAAGACAGTATTTTGTCAGGTGATGTTCAAACCGCTCCAGATGACTGAAACACTTTGGCATGGCTGATGTAATTATTGTATTTCTGTGTTCTGTGTCATACAGATAATGCTGTGAAGCTATGGTGGTAAGCCTGTTCTTTTGTGCAGAAGGATATGTAGGAAAAAGAAAATTAATTATTTCTGGTCGTGTAGTATATTCTCTCTGTAAAAAAACATCTGGATATTTCTTGCAAGATAAATACGTAGTATTTTCATGCAAATTTCTTAAAAGTAGAAACATTTATATGAAGTTGCATAGTACATATGCCCTTAAAGAATTATGGGGTTTATTCTTTTTCTTTCAGATGAAGGAGACTTTTCCCAGCTTTGTATCTAATTTATAAACCATGTAATTTTTAATGAGAAAGAAACTCCAAAAATAAGTCTACCTTAGGAAAGCAAAATTAGGAGGTTTTGAGGCTCCATCAATACACTTGTAATAGTGCACTCTACTAGTATGACTAATAAATGTCTTGGAGGGCAAGATTCAATGTTAGTTTAACAGGTACAACACAGGCTTTAGAAAGTGTTGACAAATGTTTCTCTTTTAAGCCACAGATTCCAGCATGGTGGAGGGAGATTGCCAAATACAGATGGGAAGATTTGTTTCTTTCTTGCAGGTAGAGTATGTTTTGATTGTTTGACAAGAATTATGATATTAATTTTACTTGCAAAATGGATTTAACAGTCTGCCATATCCTGTTTGCATTTTGCTGAAAGGCATAGCAGCCATTTAATATGTTACTGTGTTTTGCCTGCAGACCAGTTGTTGTATCACACATTGTTTGGGATTTTTTATACTTTTCTCTGGAAATCTAATGAGAGAAGGAATTAGAAATGGCTTTAAAATATTTCTGTAGGAGAAGATAAATTGAGGTTGCTTTCATCTGTAGTTAAAGTTAGCTGTTTTTATGAGTTTGATTAGCAAGTTCTGGTGTTCATTGAATATTGGAAATGGGTTAATTGTTTTATATGTTTGGGGGTTTTTTAGCTGGTAGAAGAAAACAAAATCAAAGTATCTGCCTGAAAAAAATTGCTTGTGTTTCTTTCAAACATTTTTGGAAGAGCACTCCTTTGCATGAAAACAGGATCTGTTTTTATTCTGAGGATTTCCTGCGCTCTTGGGTTTCAGTCTGTTGTGGAGTTTTTTGTCCTTAATATAACTTAAGCAACTGTCCCATTCCCAAAAACATTTTTTTTATGCAATATTGCTTGTAAGGAGTAGCTGTGGTGAAGTAGAGAATATAGAGGAAGCTTCCAGGATGTTTAAACAAATTTTGGTTTTACAGGAGTTAAAATTTATATTCTGATTCTGCAGCATGGCACTAATCATTGTCATGACAAGACAAATGCTGTGTAGGAAGTAATTTCTCAACTTCCTTGACCATGCTGAAGTGCAGTGAATTGTTAGGATCGTTTGGGTTTTCTTTCTCATTTTCCAACCTCTTTGTCTTAGCAGCTTTGTAGGTTTCATCCTTCATTCTCTGTTTTGCTTATCAAGTTTGTTCTTTTCCAGCAGTTGGATTCTCCTAAATCCATTCAGTGTTCTACATCCCTAGATTAGGAAATGTTGTTCTGGTCAGTGTTATAAGCATATCCACAGGGGTGGTGTGAAAATACAAAAGGTGAAAAGTTGCTTTCATAGAGCTAATGACCATGTATTGGTTTCTTGGCTCTTTTGGGCTTTCTGGATTAGCTAGATGAAGTAGCCTCAAATTTGCTAGGTCAAAAAGGTTTTTTAAAGCGTTATCAAAATAATACTCTGAAATACTAGTTTAAAAATGACAGTCTTGTCTGTATTATGTAGCTGCTAATATGCATGTGCTGTTGAATTGGACTTCTTTCAGAAATTTTAAAATGGCAGCTGGTGCTGCCTCCCCAGGAAACATGATCTCATCTGTCTATTAATCCATTCTTCTGGAATCTGTTGGCTTATTTCAGCTGCGTTTGTTAGAGCAGTACAATTTTAAGAAGTAATGGTTTGTGAAAACTGGTGACTAATAGAAGGCAGAAGCCCAAATAGGATCTATTTTTGATGGGGAGGAAGACAGAATTCAGCTGTTAACCAGTTTCCTGGCTGCCTGACTGTGCAGCCCGTGTGGACTGTCTGCTATAAAACCATCTGTGTGCAGCCTGGCTAGACTCATCACACACTGACATTTCCCTGATGGGATTTGTAAGGTAAATTAATGAGCAGATGTTACTGCAGTTAAGGGAAACTCAAATTAATTTATCCTGTTGTTCAAGGAATGCTGTGTTAAAATCCATTATAGAAATTAAGATACCTCTTTATATGGTCAGAGTTGACATGTTCTTACTCATTTTGTGTTACGTAACCAAGGCCAAGTTCTGCCTTCGTCAGGCAAACCTTTCAAAGACATTGATTTTCTTTGTTTTAAAGCAGTATTCTGTGGCTTATCACTCTAACAGTAAGAGCTTCTGTGGTAATTTCCAATTTGAATTTGGCTATTACCAGCATCCAGAGTGTGGCTCTTGAATCTAGTGGGGAAAAAGCACAGCCTCTGCTGGATTTTGTCCTTGAAAGTACTTGGGCTCTGTTGTCAAGTCACTTCTTGCTGTCTTTGATAAATTGAACCAATACTATAAATGGTCAGAGTTGTAATGGAAGCTTGTGTTTGGTAGTTTCTTAGCTTAGTCCCAGATCCTGTTTCAGAGCTGTTAGTAGGATGTTTTCCATCCCGCTGTAGATCTGTCCACTGACTTGGGTTAGGGGTATAGTTGGAACTTTGGCTGAATATTCTGTAGTTTATGTTCAGTTTTTTTGGTGTAATGACAACTTGTCTATGAGGAGGATCTATATATTTATATGCATTTTGTTTTCTTGTATTTCAGGAGCTGTCTTGCTTTGTTACCCGATGTTATGAAGTGGTGGTGAATGTAGTGCATCAGCTGGCTGTTCTGTATACCAGCAACAAGTAATTATTCCCTAAAGTGCTGTATTGTTACTATGTAGAGTTAAATGTATAAAACATGAATGTTTTATACATGTTCTATTTGAGGAAATGGTCATTTTTGGAATATTGTTGTCTAGAGAGAGTGCTTTGGTGTGCAAGTTTGAGCTTCATAAATGGTTATGGAAATGGTTTTGTTTTGTTTTCAGAAAAAATAGTGCTTGTATATAATGAGATGCAAGGATGTTAGTGTTTGTTATTTTTAGTCTTTATGTTTGAGAAATATTGCTGATTTTTCATCCTTGCTCTGTTTGAGACACTCCTCCTGTTTCTTGATACATAGTTTAAAAATCAAATAATTTCTGCAGTCCAGTTTGAAAATGTAAATCTTGGCATGTATTCTTCACAGAGCAGCCATGGTTTTAACATCTGAAGTTTAGCTTGGTAGGGCTGTTTGGTTTAGCTCCTTTGAAAACTGTGAGGAAGGTTTAGTTCTGAACAGGATTGTTGGAGTTAGCTTTGAATACCTCTGCAGGACTCTCAATTGCTTCCCCATCCCTCAATAGGATAGCACCATCTTCTCAGTTTTATTTGTTGCTTTTATTTTTGGCTTATGCCACACCACAAGGCAGACTTCCTGTGTGGTGCTGGATGTGTAGCTTGGACATGGCTTGAGTAAATACAAAGTGATTTTATTCTCTGGGTGTGTCAAGGCTATTTGCATAACTGAAGTGGGAATTGCTGACGCACGTGGGCACTGAATACACTTGGTGGTTTCAACCAGTCACATGCTGTATCTTTAAAAATACAGTTTTAAATTTGATCAGAGTATACAGATTTCACCCAGTATATACTTTTCATCAGGTTTTGATGTTCTTTTGTTTCCTGAAGTTACTATGTTAACAAAGAAAAATGTTCCCAGAAGACAGAGAACACACCATGATACAGAACTGATAAATATGATCTGTTCTAAGGATGAAAAAGGCATTAAAATATTGATTTTATTTACAGGAGTGCACCTAAAATTATAGAGACATCTGGAGTTCATTTTCAGGTGGGAATGATTTGGAACTCTTTTGCTTATGTGAATATATATAGGTCTTGATGATTAATCCTGAGAAAACCAGCATGAAAGTGACTATAGAGAACAGCTTTCAATTTAAAGGTTTTATTTTATTTTTCAGCTTTTTCTGACCTTTATATGGGAAGGCCTGGTTTCTCCATGTCAGTCATATTCTAAATTTCCTAGCCACTAAGTGTTTGCATGCTCCCTTATTGCAATGTGTGCCTCGGCATATAGACTATTTTAAAAATTGTGTCTTCAGTGTCAAGATAGATCAAGGAATTTGGTTTGTATGCAGACATCCCTTTAATATTTCTTGTGTCACTACAAATGAAATCTTTAAGCTGCAAAACCACAAATTCTCCTGTTTAACTCTCTAGCTGATATCTTGTTGGCTGAAAATGTGTTGAAAGGAACTGAAATTTTATGTGCCTCATATGACTGCAATAAACTTTCTATTAATTACAGTCCTTTTCTCTCTATTTTTTTCCCCTTCACATACAGGCAATGTATGAGCATCTAGGAGAGTTGCTCACAATCTTGATCACTCTGGATGAAATAATTGACAATCATGCCACGCTGAAAGATCACTGGACTATGTACAAGAGGTGTGTCTCTGATGTGAAAAATACTCGCACAAACTAAGACATAAAAGCATATGCATCTGTCTGTGTTCCAAGAAAGTCAGTGTGAGAACATGGATTTTGGTAGTCTCTCCAGAAATTTCAGTGAAGAGCAGGGCTGAGCTCCCACAGTGTCCTTCTAAGGGCATTCTAAGGGCACCAGTGTGTTTGAGTATGAATGTTGCATTTTCAGTGTGGGGTAAGCATCTTGGCTAACAATGTAATAGTTGGTGGGATTTAAAGAATATTCAGTAAGAAATTTAGTTGTGTAAAGAACTGAGCTAAGACTATGCCTGTTCATATTGATCATGGGAATGGGCATACAGCTTTAAGAAGGGGTGGTACCTTAAGTAAAAGATTCAACAATTATAAAGGTAGCTGAATTAGTGGAATATTAACTCTGTCCTTGAAAACCCAAATAAATGGAAGTTACTCAAATGCAAATTGTTTATACAGACCTAGTGTTATTTTGTGGGGTTTTTTTTTGTTTGTTGGTTTGGTTTGGGTTGTTTTTTTTTTTTTTTTGGTTTTTTTTTTGGGTTTTTGTTGGTTGGTTGGTTTTTCTGTTTTTTGGTTAGGTTTTTGTGTAGGTTTTTTTGTGTTGTTGTTTGTTTGCTTTTTATTTTGGGGGTTGCTGCTAAGGGCAGGAGGGGGAAATCAAAACATCTTAACAAAATAGTGCAGGATATGATAAAACTGTGACTATGTTTTAAGTGTGCTGTATGTGTGTGTTCTACACCTACCCCTTACAGGCTGCTAAAATCTGTCCATCACAACCCTTCCAAGTTTGGGATTCAAGAAGATAAACTAAAGCCATTTGAAAAACTGCTGTTAAAACTGGAATGCCAGTTACTTGATGGAATGATATTTCAGGTAATGAACTTAATATTCCCCAGTGTGATAGAGGAAGCTTACGTGAAAGCAACACTCTTTTCAGAATGGTTGGTTTGTTTGTTTGTATTTTGCTTTTGTTACGGTTACAGTCATGTGTGAATTTGGCTCTTGCATCTGTGCCTGGGAGAAAAAAGGCTCTGTTGTAAGATCGTGTCTTGCTCTTCTCGTGTGCTTGAGCTGTGCCAAGCTTTGAATGGTAGCAGTAAATGCTGACTGTTTTGCTGAACTAGAGAAACACAGACAGCTTGGCATTAGAACTGTGTATTATCAGAATTCTGCTTTTGTGCACATAATAGCGAGCGGGTTTACATAGCATAGATCTTTATTTTAGCTGCAAATTAATTAGTTTCCTCAATAATCTTTAAAATATGTTGAGTGTGACGTGTCATTCCTTGCATACAAGACAGGTTGCTGTCATTAGAGGCCACTGCGGTGAGACATACCTCTGAATCATGCAGGTGCACAGGTGGATGAGAAGGATTTTGTTACATTTTCTGTACAGTTAAATTTAATTAAATTCATACAAGAAGCCATTTCTTTAGAAAGGTGTATATTACAGATATTGAAATGTTTTGGCGTAGTGGGCAGATGATAATGTTGTTGAACCTGTTCAAAGCAGAGTCAGTTGCTCGGGTCGTGCCATTACATCTTAAATGGTATTAAGGAAAAAGTGCTTGTTCTGTAAAAGCCTTCAAAAGGAAATTGTAGGTAAATAATTAATCACACTTTGGCTTATTCTTTCAAAGGACATTGCTATCAGCTATCCATTTTTCACGTTGTATTTCCTTAATGCTGTATAAGTACAAAGACTTTGTTGTAGGTTTGAGACATCAATAGGATTTGACCGGAATTTATTCCGGAAGTTTCCCCTCCTGTCCTGCAAAAAAAATTCATTAAAAATATTAGATGCAGTTCTAATAAAAACTTTTCTAATCTCTTCAGAAAGTATGGAATATGTCTCTATTTTTTGACTGTCATGGGGTTTTGGGACCTTTTTTGAACTGCCAGCAGTAGTGTGTGGTTTTATGCTGCAATGTCATGAGCCACATCCTACAAGTGACTTGTACAGTAATATTGATTAAAGGACAATTAGTAACATGCTATAATGTGATAATACAAATACGCATCTAGTTTCTTAGCACTAGCTCATCAAATGGCTTCTTTAAAAATGCTCCTTAAAGGAAATGGGAAAATAAATAAATTGGGGGTTGGAATGTCAAGTGTAAAAAGTGTTTTAATATTTTCTGGTTTTATACTTAAAAATGTAATCATAGTTAAGAACATGTATGTCATAGAAGGTTAAGGCCTCCTTTAGGTTAGTCTTAAATCAGTGTGCTCTTCCAGTATTCTCTTGAAAACCAGTACTCTTTTGAGGTCCAAAACTCATGGCATTATCTTAATATATTGATATTTTCCCCCCTTTTTATTTAGGCCTGTATAGAGCAACAATTTGATTCTTTAAATGGTGGAGTGTCTGTGTCAAAGAACAGCACATTTGCTGAAGAATTTGCTCATACTCTTCGTACATCTTTCTCAAATGTCGAAGCCAAACTTGGTAAGGCAAGCTCATGCTTTTCCTGCCAGCTTCACTGTTTCTCAAATTGTTTATATTGTTTGGGAGTAAAATTCACAAGGGTGTATTTTTTCAGGTGAACCTTCAGAAATTGACCAGAGAGATAAATATGTGGGCATCTGTGGCCTCTTTGTACTGCATTTTCAGATTTTTCGGTCTGTAGACAAGAAATTTTATAAGTCATTGTTGGATGTCTGTAAGAAGGTAAGTGCTTTATTCTTTTGTCTTTCATTAATGAAGTAGATAATTTCCTGAGTTGCATAGTGTAGCACTATGCAAGACTTGGGAAAAGAAAGAAACACAAAAAACGTCTGAAATCGGAGTTAAGAATTTTCTACTTCTTACAACTCCCCCCTGCCATTTTCTTTTAAAGATGGTCTATAATGTGTGCACTCACATAGCAGCAAGGTAAAATAAACTTAATCAACTTGCCATTTTTATTAAAATATTTATTCTCGAGATTAATATGGCACTGAAGACAAAAATCTCTTTAAGTTACAAATACTCTGGTGCTAAATAAATGCTGTGGGCTTTGACTGTGACTAGAAACATTTGTTTTGGAAGACCTCTAAGTGCAAAGTTGACTGGGATGTTTTCATATTGGATGGCATGAAGAAATTATTAAATTCTCTAATATTATTTAGATTCACTGAGAGTGGTTATAATTTTGCCCATGGTGTCCTTAGTGAACATCTAGGGAAACTTTTAACATCAATGCAATACTCTGTAGAAAACAGTTACACAGAAATAAACTGAACTGTGTTAATTGCATTTATTGCTGCTTGGTAGTATTTTCTCCTCCTTTTTTTTTTTTTTTTTTTTGTCTTCCCAGGTACCAGCCATTACATTAACAGCTAACATTATCTGGTTTGCTGACAATTTTCTGATTCAGAAGATTCCAGCTGCTGCCAAACTACTGGACAAGAAAAGTATTCATACAGTTAAAACACAAAGGGAGAACTTTCTACAGCAAAGGGCACAGTCACTTACCAAGTATGCATCCTAATACTGCCTCATGATGCTATTTGGCAAATAGTTTTGAAGCACGTGAGCTTTTTCATTCAGTGCAGTAGCATGTTCTGTGGTGTCTCTCAGTGGTGTTAGTCACTTGTTCCACTTCACTGCAGCAGTGTATGTGTGTTAGTGTTGCTGCAAAAATTTTGGTCAAAACTAAGCTGCTTTTCATGTTATGCTTTCAGAAAAATATGTATTATTACACCAAAATAGCAGTCTTCCTGGCAGTTCTAAATATTTGTTTCAGTTACTTATGTTTCCATATTTTCAAATTCCCTTTTGTTTTTTAAACTAGTGTCTAGTAACCTGGGCTGCTTTGTTTTCTATTAGGGCTCTCTGCTTTCTATGTGTTCATGGAAGTAAGTTGCTAGTGGGCTGATAGTGGAGCTTTCCTCTGCTTGGTGATGGTACTTTCTTTGGAAGGTTTTCTTTCTTTGTGACTTTTTTATTACTTGTTTAATGGTCTTTGAAATTATCTGTATTTGAAGAAAGCCTCCTTTGTTTTGTGTTCTGCACGTAGTGTGCAGCTCACTTCTTTATCTTCTAAAATATGCTTAAAGATGAGATGGAATATTTTTAGCTGTTGGTCTTAAGAACAAGTGTCCTGCATAGGAAGATAACAGGGCTAAGGTTTGTATGTTTCAGAACAAAACAAGAAAGTGGAAACTGGGGTCTGTGGAATGGCAATAAAAACTTAGGTTTTGCATGTTGTCTTCCAACCGATAAGCAAGCTGGCAGAACGGATTTGGAGGGGAGGAGGGAAGGGGGAAAAAGCAGCTCTGTGCCTGATTCTCTGACAGATTATTTTCACTTCTGCCCTGTTTTCTTTTTCAATCCACTTTTTCCTGGCCCTGATTCTTTCCTGGTCTTTAATTCCTAGGTAGGGCATAATTGCACTGCTGCTTTGCTTCTGGTCTCAGGCAGTGGTACAAGTCTTAAGATTAAGAAAAAGTTCAGAAAAACATCTTGGTATTCACATACATTTCTTAGAAACATAGAATCATTTAACTTGGAGAAGGCCTGAAGGATCACCAGTTATAACTCAGTAAAGTTCACCACTAAACCATGTCCACGGGGCCCACATCTGCACATCTTTTAAATACCTCCAGCAGTGGTGACCCAGCCCCTTCTCTGGACAGCCTGTTCCAGTGCTTGACAGCCTGTTTGGTGAGGAAATTTTCCTAATCTTCAGTCTAAACCTCCTCTTGTGCAACTTGAGGCTGTTTTCTCTTGGCCTGTTACTTGGGAGAAGAGACCAGACCCCACCTCACAAAAATCTGCTTTCAGGGAGTTGTGGTGAGCAGTGAGGTCTTCCTGGGCCTCCTTTTCTCCCTCAGCTCCCTTGCAGGCCTTATGCTCCTTCCCCAGTTTTGTTGCCCTACTTTGTACGCACAAATTTGAGGATATTTTAATAAAATCAGGTTTTGCATCTGCTGATTTGAATTGTGCAAATAACTTTTTTTGCTTGTTTACACTTGCACTGCCTTTAATAATCGGACTGCTCCCTAAATATGAGGACTCTCTTTAAAAGTGTAATTTTTGGTAACATCATCAATGACCTAAAACCTTGCCTGCTACAGCTGCTGGAAGAAGCTGTATTACAGTGTCACATTTCTCTATTTAACTCTACTTAACCATTTATTAAAACTAGTGTCATTCACACAGATAAACTTCTGTAGAATTATGTAATTATGTTACGTAAGAACAGTCCAGTCTGGCATTGGTGTAATGACAAGTTATATTTGTTTGTGTGTGTTAGTGTGTGTGTGTGTGTAAGCAACAAAAATTCAAGCTGGGATGAAAAAAAGTAGCACCAGTGTTGGACTTTTCCATCTAGTGTTTAAAAGCATTTTCTAACAGTTTTATGTAGCCTTTTAATTTAAGGAGGTGTGGTATATGCGCTGCTAAGAGGGCCATGTCTTCTCTTGAAAAGTAGATGATTTTTGACTCGTTATACAGACATAATTGGCAGACTAACTAATCCTTACCTGCAGAGAATTAAAATGTAAATGAGTATAGGGTTCTGATACTTTTGGGAAGGTGAATTATTTCAGGGACTAAAGGTTTAAAATATTTCCCTTGCAAGGGAAAGATTTGGAAAGAAATAAAAAAATCTTCACAATCCTCTTACTTGAAGTGAGCAACATTCCCTGTTTCCTTCCACAGAGATATGCAGTCATATTATGTTTTTGTGAGTTCGTGGATGACAAAAATGGAATCTATCTTGTCCAAGGAGCAGCGCACAACAAAGTTTTCTGAAGATCTTTCTAACCGCTGCAATGTCTTCATCCAGGTGTGCAATCTTTTAGTGCGGTGATGCAGCAAACTGATGTTTTGGTGCAAATTGTTGAACATAAAAAGAAATCACAGGAGTTCTGTGATCATTGGTGTGTAATTTCACAGTTTTGGAATTCTTATGAAGCTTTTAATGCCCAGTACTCTTCCAAGAAAATCTTTTAAAGGTCTTTTGATAAAGAATGTGTGGAAAGGGAACTATTCAGTGGCTAGAATTTTGGATTTTTCTCTTGACGTGGGAAATCAAAAAAGCTTAATCTTCTCTGTAGTAAAGGTTTTGGGTTTCTTTCCTTTTGAGTCATGAGGTACTTATAGTGGACTGAACCAGTGTTTATTTAGTTTTATCTAGGACAGTACATACTCCCAGTAAAGATTTTGTGTTGTTTCTTCTTAGTGATGGTACTTTGTCAGAATCTTCCTATGTTCCAAGACAGGTGGGGTTTTTTTGCCTACAAACAGCATGCAATCTTAATATAAGATGCATCTTATTTCTGAATTTATTTTTTGCTAGTTTTCATGAGTATCTATCTACCTGGCAGAAATTTGATGAGAATAGGTCTGTGAAAGAAGCATGATCCTGAGTCTCCTTTAGCTAAAAATAGGCATGTACTAGGATCTGTGTTTTTTACGTTTGAATTAGTGCAGTAGACTTAATTCAGTATGGAGCAATTTTTTCAGTTTCCTGCACCACTTACTGTATTTTCCTAGTTTCTTTTTCTTTTTTTTTTTTTTTTTTGTTGTTACTACTTTTTCTTTGAAGTAAGTTTAATAATTGTTAGCCATGTTGTATATAATCAACATTGTGTTTAAAAGCTTAAAGCTTAGCATATATTGATGTAGAAATGATTAGTATCTTTATTGTGGGATGAACATCTCTATTTAGAAAATGTAAAACTGTCTAAATACTGTCAGTGTATTTGTTCCACAGAATTTGGAAGTTTTAGATTGTTTTTTGTGATGGGATATTTCTTGGGGAGATGGAAATTGTTTGATGGGTTGGTTTACAGTAGACTGAAACTATTAGACCTTTAAGGCTCTGTGATTATTTGACTCACTAACCTGTATTTAATTTGAATGGCTTTAGAAGAGGTTAATCAGATGATCTAAAGAGTCATAGGCAGTTTCATGGTGTCTGCTAATGAAAGGATCTCATTCAGCTTTGGGATCCCAGGCTTGCTTAGTGGAGTGATAGGCTCTCTGTTGTGCAGGGGCAAAGATTAGCTGAACACTTACTTTATTGACATGTGGAAATACTGATTTTTAATTTTTCTTCCCCTTGTATTCATTTTATTTTAGGGTTTTCTTTATGCATACAGTCTTAGCACCATCATTAAAATGACAATGAATCTTTACTTGTCAATGCAAAAACCTATGACCAAAACCTCAGTAAAAGCCTTGTGCAGACTTGTGGAGCTTCTGAAGGTAGGTCACTGGATGAAAATTATTTATTTCATGGAGGCATTACAGAGAACATTGACCAAACGTCCTGTATTAAAAAAAAGAAACTGTGATGGGAAGTGTTTTTGCATGCATGCATGCATTCTCTTGTTTGAGAATGGTTTGGTTAGAGAATAGATTAGGGAGCCTAGGACTGGGTTTGTGGGTTTGTTTGTTTGGTGGTTTTTTTTCGTAGCTTCTAACTGGCTTAGTTGATGTCACAGAATGTTTGAGGTTGGAGGGGATCTCTGGAGATCATTGGTCCAACCTACCCCTGCTCAAGTAGAGACACTAGAACTGTGTCGAGATGACTTTTGAATATCTGCAAGTGTGGAGACTCCACAACCTTTCTGGGCAATCAGGCTGTGACAGTGCTTGGTTACCCTCATAGCAACAGAGTGTTTCCTGATGTTCAGAGGGAAACTCCTGTGTTTCAGTTTGTGCTCATTGCCCCTTTTTCTGTCACTGGACACATCTGACAAGAGCCTGGCTCCATCTTCTTTGCGCCCTCCCTCCAGGTATTTATGTACAATGACAAGACCCCCTCCAAGTCTTTTCTTCTCTGGCTGAGCAGTCCCAGCTCTCCCAGCCTTTCCTCACATTTGAGGTGCCCCAGTCTGTGAATCACCTTCATGAATCTTGGCTGGACTCTCTCCAGTGTGTCCGTGTCTCTCTTGTACTGAGGAGCCCAGAACTGGACCCAGGACTCCAGATTTGGCCTTGCCAGTGCTGAGGAGGGGGAAGGGTCACCTCCCCTGAGCTGCCAGCAAAGTGCTGTACAGTGGAGACAAAGCTGCTGTTGGCCTTCTTTGGGACAAGGGCACATTGCTGCTTTGCACTCAACCTGCTGTTCACCAGGACCCCCCAGATCCTTTCCTTCCAGGCTGCTTTCCAGTTGGGTGATTCCCGGTATATACTGGTGTATGGGAGATTGTTCCTCCCCACATGTGGCAATTCACATTTCTCCTGGTAGTTTTTCCAAAAGGAAGATACTCTTTTTCAGGATAACTTCAGAAAGCAGTGGTGAACAAAACTGAAAAAAAATCCCGAACCAAAAAACAAAACTTAAATCAGTCCTAAAACTTTTTTGTGCTCCTGGATAGTTTTATTTTCTTGGTTTCTAAGGGTTAATTGTAACTGCTAGTAACAGCACATTAAAAAATGGAAAGAGTCTGTATTTGCAGTGTGGATAAGTCACACAGCATAAAGCCAGATTCCTAAGGCAGCAGTTTTGGTAACTACATGAGCTAATGTGTTTTGGGATTGACTTCAGGCAATAGAGCATATGTTTTACCGAAGAAGCATGGTTGTGGCAGACTCTGTGACACACATCACTCAGCATCTGCAGTATCAGGCTCTTCACTCTATCTCTGTGGCCAAGGTATGTAATCAAAGTTCTAACAATTAATCTCCCTGAGTATTTTTAAAATATTGAGTTTAAAGTAAAGTAGTTTTTGTATTTTTCCAACATCTGTAGTGTAATGCTCTATCATAATCCAGAGATATATAAGCTTTCCAGTCATTCCAAGCTTTTTCCTAGAACACTGATGGTTTTAGTTTAGCCATCTAGCATAGATGGTTACCTGGTTTTTGACCAAGAATGGTTCCCCTCTTCCTCTAAACTGCTGCATCTCTTGTTATGTTCTTCTTGTGTTCTTTTTAGATTTTATTTCTAGTGAATTTTCACAAACTGACCTTTGCTTCCATCTTTTTTGATGCACATTCATAAAGCAATCTGTTGCAGGTCTAAGCAAACAGGCTGTTATTTAAATCTATGGCTTCTTGGCAAAATAGCACTACATGATGGCTTACAGGAGCCTACTGTGGGCATAAATTCTCTCTTTCACTGTGGGATAAAATAGTTTCTTTTGCTTGTCAAACCTTGAATTTCAGAATTCAGGTCAAAGGGAAAAATGAGACTTTAGTATGCCTATTCTGATGTATTACTGATTGGTTGTATTATTTCATCACATTGAGTAGCAGAGTTACGAAGGATGTATGCTGTTGTTACTGGTGCAGCTATGAAATTTCCTTTTTGTTTGTCTGTAATCTCAATTTATGTATCTGGCATCTCTATGTTTTCTAGGGTAAGGAAAAAAATAGTTGTATCTATAAAAATTTATATACAGATATATATGTAGCAGGAGTAGCATGAACTGAAGACTTTCCAAACTTCAAAGTCACTAAGAAAAATTATATATCTTCAAACACTTCATAGAGATATATATATAGATAACTTTCATAAACTTTTCAAATTATATCTGTAATTACATTGCAATTATTTTTAAATGAATAAAAATAGGTTAAAACTTTTGCATTGAAGGATATTGAAAAGAACACTTCCGTGAGCAGTTCTTGATATTTTGACTACTTATCAGAAAATATGTAAAAAGGCAAATGTTGGTAAATAGAAGGATCCATTAGTATGACTTAACCTATGTTCATGTTGGCTGCACATATTCCAAGAGTATAGACAGGTGATATCACTGAATTGGCAGAGTAAGTGAATTTGGATTCAGTTAACTCTGTTCACAAAACATGTTTGCAGAAATACTCAATTTATGACAAGTCCACAAACTTTGGGAAGAAGTAGTGAGCTGTTGCCTTTGGGCTTAGGTAACTTTTCTCTGAATTTGTGTCTTTTTGTCATCAAGAAAAGGGTGATTTCTGATAAAAAGTACAGTGAGCAGCGCCTGGATGTCCTCTCTGCTTTGGTGTTGGCTGAGAACACCCTCAATGGGCCAAGCACGAAACAGAGGCGACTGATTGTTTCCCTTGCACTGAGTGTGGGAACACAGATGGTAAGTGCCCTCATTGTTCCAGCCCTTCCTTTGTTTGGTGGAGTGTCTTATGAAAAAATATCAGCTTGTGATCTTATGCTTTTTTTTTTTTTCCTTCATTTCTACAGAAAACATTTAAAGATGAAGAACTTATTCCCCTTCAGTTAGTTTTGAAAAAACTGGACTTGATCAGTGAACTTACGGAGAGGTAAGCGGTGACAGCGGTATGTAGGAGGTAGCATAGTCTCTTCGGGGAGCTGGATCCTCGCTGTGTGAATGGCAAAATCTGGTCTCTGCATGCTGGTGGTGATGTTTGCATGTTTTGTAGACCAGGATGGACAGAAAGAATTCCAGAGTTAAACCAGAAGCTTTGTTGTCTTTGCACAAGTCATATTTCACCTGGCTGTTGATTGTTTAGATGTCCTGTGACTTTCTTGGATGATTTTGTTTTATGATAATCTGAAGTGTTCCCCTTAACCCAACCCAAACATTTCTCAGTACCAGTCTGTTTGGAGACTGGGCTGCTAGTTTACGTGTGAACCATGTTTTACTGCTGCTGTGGTTTCTGTGCACACTCAAGTTACATCATGCTGACCATTTGTAAGCCAAGTGAATATCTGGGTTCCATGCAGTTTTTAGGAGAGAGACAAACACATTTAGTGGTTGACTCAGAGATCCAATCTGTCTGCATTTATCTCAGGAATTCATCAGGAGGGGCCTGTTTCTCCTTTGACTTACAGGAGAAATTTAGAATATATGTTTGATCTCTAGGCTACTAATTGCATGTAATAAGAAAACAGTTATTTAGGAATTTGCTGTAATGTAAGATTTAAGTCCTTCAGAGACTGAGTTAACTTTTCCTCAAAAGCAAGTATCTTTTATTTATAAACAGGCTAAAAACAAAAAAAAAGTTTTTAATAAAGAACTTTCTTATGATGGTCAGTGGATGTGGAACATTAAAGTAATGGTAAAACTTGGGCTTGAAATGCACTTGTCTTTAGTTCAAACACATTCGCTGTGTTAGAAGAATGATTTCTTCCAAATCTGTGTCTAACAATTAATCTTTTATTCCAGAGTTCGAGCACAATGTGACTGTTGTTTCTTATACTGGCATCGAGCTGTCTTTCCAATCTATTTAGATGATGTCTATGAAAATGCAGTGGATTCTGCTAGACTACATGTAAGTAATAATGTTACAACTTACTGACTGTTGTGACAGATTCAGATGAAGAGATGATAAACCTCAGACTGAAGCTCTTAAAGGAAAAGCTCAAAAAGCAAATCCCTGACTACTACTGAGTCAGACATTTCTTCTCATTCTGGAGGATATAAAAGCAATATCTGTTCTAAGTCTATCTATTAGATTTCTTTAAAAAATCTGGGGTTGCTATTGTTAACTTTGTGTCTGTCTGTCTCTTTGTTTCTCTCTTCATTCTGATTTGAAATGAACACCTGCTGGGCTTGAACATTAAGAACCTTTGTTCCTCTTTGTGGTTACATATTTCTAAAGCAAATACCACTGTGTTCACTGATTCTGTGTTAGATAGTTGTCCTGTAGTTTTTTCCACCCCTCATCTCTTCTCCCCTTGTTGAAGTAATGTGTACTTGCCGCAAATGTGAATCAGGCTTTGGCATGACAATCCTGATAAAAATGAAATGTCTGTTCCAGGGTTGTACAGTACTGAAATGAATGAAGAGCAAATAATTTCTGATGAAATAGCTAATAATTAGGATCTTCCAGTCAGTAGCGAATAATACCTCAGATTAAGGACAGGACACTTCAGTAGGGTTTACGAAGTCAGTTTTTAATGAAAATGGGAAGACTAGTGATTCTGATTTTTGTTAGCTTTGAACACTGTTGGAAGTGCTGGTGGCATATCTGTCTGTTAATAATATGTGTTTTTTAATAAGTATATGTTTAGTGCACTACGGGACTGTGTACCTCCTATGATGCATGCAAGACACTTGGAATCTTATGAGGTGCTTCTGGAATGCTATGACAAAGAAATTATGGAAGTGCTCAATGAGGTAATTTGTTGTGCTTGGGAATTAAACACACCACTGTGCTTGAAATATCTTCAGCTCAGATCAGCATCTATTGTAGCAAATCTGATATGATATGTGTAAAATATCACAGAGAACTTCGGTGTGAAGGGTTTTAATAAATAGGAAAGTGTTTGGTTTGACTGACGGTTTTGACTCATGTTTAATGGTATCCATGTTGGCTGGGAAAATGAAAATACTGCACTCTAAATTATGTAAATTAACAAAACCTCAGTTACAGATTTGACTGTGCAGACAGAGGAGTGCTTTTTGTTAGATTAGCTTCTGTTTGGATGAATGCCTAAAATAAATGCTACTGTTCTTAGTTTCCATGCATGGCTTTTAGTAGTGAAGGGTCTGCAAATACAGATGGCCTCTTGACTGAATTATTGTCTAGAATTATGAAGGAGGTTTGACAAAGAAGATGCAAATTTGGATTTCCCGAGTCTTAGTTTTTAACCTTTGAAATACGCTTTTTATTTGCCTAGTTCAAGACAAAACATTACATGTTATTCAGAAAATCAGACCAAATTTCTTATTGCAAGACTCTTCCTCACTGAATGTGTTCTTACTGTTTAGATAGATAGCCCTAAGCTTAGTTCCCCTTAAAATGAGAAGTGAGAATACTCATTGAGTTGTGTTAAACTCGCATGTGGAAGTCTTAGGCATGTAAAAAATGGCATTAGGTAGGTAAACCTTTACGTTTTCTGAGCTGTGTAGCTTTTTCTTGCTATTTGTACTCGAGCAAGAACACAGGAAGTCAGTATCTTTCTGGTTCCCAAGTATTTATTCACTTTGACTTGTGTGGCCCTACCCGAGCAAAGATTTCTTTCACTAGTTTAATCAGTCTTACACATATGTGTGGAGAGAAATGTTGGTTCTTCAAACAGAGCATTGTAAGTGGACACTGAACATGACTTTTTTTTTTGTCTATGGTTTGTTTGTTTGCGTGTTTGTTTGGTGTTTTGGTGGGTTTTCCTTTTGTTTTGTTTTGGTTTTTTTTTAAACTTTCTTGAATAGCACTTGCTGGACAAATTGTGTAAAGAGATAGAAAAGGACCTGCGCTTATCAGTTCACACTCACCTGAAGCTGGATGACAGAAACCCCTTCAGAGTTGGCATGAAGGACCTGGCTCACTTCTTCTTTCTGAACCCAATACGATTTTTCAACCGGTTCATTGACATAAAAGGTGAGGAGTTATACGTTTGCTTGGTTCTGTTATTTTCATCTCTTATACTTTGTATATCTTTTCACTTCTTTCCACACTTTCCTAACTAAATAGGTAGCATTATTTTAGTTCATCCTTCGTGTTCACAGCTTATGTAACTCATTATTTGGACAAGACCTTCTACAACTTAACAACCGTAGCCCTTCACGACTGGGCCACCTACAGCGAGATGAGAAACGTGGCAACCCAGCGCTATGGTTTAAGCATGACTGAGGCTCACCTTCCCAGCCAGACTCTGGAGCAGGTACAGTGCCCACAGGGCAGGAATAGAATTTAAACCATTCCACTGTCGTAGGACTGAGTCACTGAAATGAAAGTATCCAAGAGCAGAGAACTGTTTGGGAAAAGTGACCTTTAATTTCTGGTTGCATTGTGAGGCAGGATTTTTATCTGCCTTTGGAGATCACACTGATATTCATTAATGTAATGTTGGACTTGAATTGTTCATTTTTTTAACATAATGGAATGAATTGAGTATGCAAAGTCAGAGGCTGTTTTCTTGAAAATTCAGTGTCAGCAGTTTGGCAAGCTGCCAAGACAGCTGTTACAAGTCTGGAATGACCTTTGGGTGGTGGGTCTTTTTCCCTGGTTTATTGCTAGCTCTTTAGTGGATTCTGCTTAGAGAAACCATTTCACAGGCTGAGATGGAGAACTTTGGGACACCTGTGAATTAGATTCTAGGAGAGTGACTTAGAGCCTCCTAAAAGCTGCTAAACATGATGACGTTCAGAATAAGTTGTAGAGTCATCAGGTTAATGGTGAAGATATTCACTTTTACAGGGTCTACAGATTGCATAGTTCTGGAGACTTTCCTTCAGGAGTTTTAATATCTTGGATATTTTTGGCAGTTTGCTTCATTCCCTCATTTGAGTTAACACATTGGTGAAAGCTCTTAGAAATACAGCAACTTTTTTCCTCATGTTCATGATGGCTGTGTCTTCCTAAGTTGAAAGAGTGCACAGAACTAAGAACTTCAGCTGTATTTTTGGCACAGAAGTGCTGTAAATCAGTTTCTGTTTCCAGCTTTGGTTTTCTCCTGGCCATATTTGATCAGCACATTGTTACAAAGAATTAAACAATTTCACAACATTGGTTTCATAACATTGATTCTGATATGAGCTTTACTTCAAAGACACCTCATGTTTCATAACCCCCCAGCCTCAAAAGCCTGATGAAATCCCTGGCACAACTGGAAATAGGGTACATAAATTAAATAGCATCATTTCTAGGCACAATGATAATTAAGGTACTCCTTAGGGGAAATAATGTAAACAATTGTAAAATTTATCCTGTAAATAGCAAACCTCAGTCTTTTATACAGGTCGGGTTAACCTGTATTGGTTGGGTATTGAAAATTAGCTAGTTGCTTATTTCTCTGTAGACATCTATATGTCTATAGGAGTCTCTAAGGCAAGATTCTGTATTTTAGAATGTGTAAACAGATACATCTCAGTTTTTTATTTTTTATTGTTTAATTACACCTTGTGGAATAGGCTGGAGAATTCCTTTCTTTCAGGGGAAGCTGGGAAAAAACAGGCAGGAGTGCAAATGTTAAAACATGGGCTGAGCTGCTTTTTTCTCCTCTAAGCTTTATCTTACAGACACCGAGCAAAAATTGTAGAGGTTCTTCATTTTGCAAAGAAAAACACTGCTTTCTAAAATACCCTCAAATAACTGCAGAAACAGTATTTCTGCACCTTAGTGGTTAGGCATGTCAGGAGTTCTTGAGAAGTTTTATCATAGTAATTCTCAATGAATAATATTGTTTCAGGGTCTGGATGTTTTGGAAATCATGAGAAATATTCATGTTTTTGTATCCCGCTACCTCTACAATCTGAATAATCAGGTAAGGTATATCCCACACTTTTCTTGGCATTTGGCTCTAGCTTGAAGGGATTGCATAATGCAGAGTGGAGTATGTTTAAGGAAAGCCCAGGCTGAACATGCGTAGTGAGAGGCTATAAAACAGTACTGGTGCTCTAGAAAAACATCTTGGGGGATGCTGTGGCTTGGTCTTGGAGAATGTTGTCTAGCATATTTTGGAAATGTTTTGCCAGTAGGATCACTGCATGTCAGTTTTCCAGGGAAGCTAGAAGGCAGCAAGGATAATTGGCTGCTCTGTAAGAACATGCTAAGTATCATGTGATTTTTGAGCTTGAAAAACGTGTATCTGAAAATGGGTTATTGGAGGGATGAAGCGGTGAATGACATGGAGAACATGGACAGGGAGCACACTTTGGTGTTTCTCACAATGTGACAATGAGGTGCCCATTACAAAAATGATCATCTTCCTGAAAGAAAAGCAGTACTTTTTTTCAAAGCTTCTAATCCAGTAGTGGATCTCATTGCTGTGGTATATGTGGGGTCAAAAGTGCAAACAGGTGCCAAAAGAGTTTAGACTGCTTAATGTAGGATATAATCTCAAATATGGGAGTCTTTAATGCAACATCTGCCTTAGAATTGTTGAATCGCTGCTGTGTAGAAATTGGAAGAATTTACTAGATAAAGTTAATTGAATCCATGCTGGATTTTCTTGGTTCTATCCCTAATCATCAGTTATCAGCTGCTCTCAGGATATAGGCTATTTAGATCAATAATTTATCACAGAACCAATTTTGGGTACTTAACTTTATTTTCCCCCCTGCCTCCCAGATCTTCATTGAAAGAACAAGTAATAACAAACACTTGAACACCATCAATATCCGACACATCGCTAACTCAATTCGAACTCACGGAACAGGAATCATGAACACAACAGTGAGTATCTTTTGCACTGCTGCTGTTGGGTTATTTGTTTGTGATTGTGCACAAAAACCTCCTCCTTGCATTTCCTAATAGTTTATTTGGTTATGCAGTTTTGATAATGCAGTAATAATGTTCTGTGTGAATTAATAAAACAAATGAGTTCTTGGATGTGGCACAAATCAATATCACAATGTTTTGAGAGTGTTATCACTTCCGGTTACCTAAATATTAAGGAAGAGATCTAAAATCACATCAAAGAAGGAACAGATGTTCTGGTTGGACTGTTCTGGACAGTATGCCCTGATTTTCTCCGTATCGACACTTAGTAGACAGATACTTTTGCTGCAGTTAAAGCAAATCTTGAAAAAATGCAGTGTTGGTTTTTTTAAGCTCTTCTTGTAATTGTTATGCTTAAGAAATACCAGCTTTTCAATTTGCAAAATAAAGCTACAGACCTCTTCTCACTTGTTGGAAAAATGAGTTCTTATTACAAAGCTTTTAATAATGTCTGAGGTGTAGGTGGCCATTTTAACCAGCCAAAGGTACTTGCCTCTTTGCAAGGTAAATGCAAAGAGGTGCATTGTGTCTGCTACAGCAGGAATTTATGGTTGGGATTCTCAAGTTTGGATACAGTTACAAAGGTGTTTTCACATCAGTGCTTTCCAGTCTGCTGCTTAAGTTCTACCTTGTTGCTGTTTCCTTTTTTCTATTCTTCTGGGTCTATCAAAAAAGGAAAAAAAAAGGAAAAGGAATTTGCTGAAATATTGAACCCATTCTCAAGTCATTATTTTAGACTCTATCAAAAAAGGAAAAAAAAAAGGAAAAGGAATTTGCTGAAATATTGAACCCATTCTCAAGTCATTATTTTAGAAGTGGAAATTACTAAAAATAAAGTTTTGATGATTTGTTTCACTTTTCTTCTGAGAGTGGGAAAGTGGGGACTGTCTCAAAAATGCTGCTACACGCATTTTTTGGTGATGTAGATTTACTCACTTCTGATGGTGAGTTAAGTTGTTTTTGCAGACATGAGAAGTATTGAGATGAGAGAGTACTTTAGAAAACTTTTTGAAGAAGTGAAAAAGTTGTGTCAGGAGGTTATGCAGATTCTACAGACTGAGGAAGTTGATCATGTCTTGTTTCCACTTGATCTTTGTATTGTTTCAACTTGATCTTTGTATTGTTTCCACTTGATCTTTGTATTGTTTCAAAAGGACGGTTACAGGATATTCCAGATAATGGCTGTGTAGGGCAGGTGATCAGCTGAAATACTGACCTTGTTCCTTGGTCCTTTTCTGGAAGAGAGTAGGCCTTCCATGAGAATGTTTATTCATTTTTCCTTATTCTTTGAAAACAGTGAAATTAAAGTAAGTTGAGAACTTGCATTAGAAGTTACTCAGGCATGTGATGAAAACAGGGCATTAGATGTTTTTGTTACTTTGTTAACTTTCTTGATTTGACTTATTTTTTTCTTTTTGCCTTCTAGGTAAATTTCACTTACCAGTTCTTGAGGAAAAAGTTTTACATTTTTAGCCAGTTCATGTATGATGAACATATCAAATCCAGACTTATCAAAGACATCAGATTCTTCAGGGAAGTCAAGGATCAAAATGATCATAAGGTACAGTAGTTTTTTGAAGGCTCAAGAGTAATTTTCCAAAAGAAGTGCTACTTTCATGTGACCAAACCATAACACTGCTATTATTTAAATGTGTATCCCCAGACAAAGGGACAGCTTTTCTCCTGGCAAAATGCAGTGTTACCAATGTCTGTGTTCAGGAGGGCTTGTTTCATTCCATCTGCTCTGTAAATACGGAGTTGGCTAAAATCATTCTCTCAGTGACTTCAGGATGATTTGATGGAGTCATGGTCTGTTGGAGGTTCTAAACTTCTTGTTCAACTCATGCATAACAGTTTTCAGTTTTGAATAATAAGCTTGCTTGAATGGAATCCAAAATGATGTGATCATGTAGCACTCATTCTAGTATGTCGGGATTTGGGAACAAGGGTCTGGTTTTCCATCCTAGAAAATTGTCTTAAGAATGGGAGAGACATTGTATTTAGTAAAATAGACTGCTAGCTTCTTTGCATGTCAAGTCCTTATTTGTTTTAGGAATACTTCTTTTTTCACAGTAAAACTATTTCACTTACCAACTTGCAGAAGTGACTTAGTAAAATGACTCTTGTGAACTAATACAGACAAGCAGGTCTATAATTTATAAAAAAACAAAGCTGTAAATGTGATGTAGAACTACATTTCCAATAGAATTTTATTGATGTGATGAAAAGGTTTTTTTTTTTCTAAAGATAGGTAATTATTGCAAATAATTTAATTTTTTTTTCTAGTATCCCTTTGAAAGAGCAGATAAATTCAACCGTGGCATCAGAAAACTTGGAATAACTCCAGATGGCCAGAGCTATCTTGACCAGTTCAGACAACTCATAAGTCAAATTGGTATGAAATGCTATCTAACATGTTATAAATGTTATTAAATGGAAGAGGTCTTCATCACCTAGTAACTGACCTTTAGGTTGAGGCTAAAGCCATATTTATTTCCAGTCAGGTGGAAAGTAGTTCACTTGTTGCCCATGCTAAGTATATGCTCTCATCTAATTACACAGAAATGGCCTTTACATGTCTTAATCTAAAATACAGTTGTAGCTTGCATAGATTCCTGTTCCCTTTTCAGTTCTTTTCTTTGTTATGGAGCTGACTTTTACCCATGTTGAGTGTATTTCCTAGTAAAAACCTATTGGTGCTTAGTTAATGTATTTCAAAAATGGGATATATATCTAGCTGAACTATCCTTGAGTGATGCACGATTTGACAATGATATTTTCAGCCATTGGTGCTGTAAATGTACAGAATGATCTGAACTTACAAGTGTTTAATGTGCCCAGTGGAAAGAGTTTGTACCAAAGTGAACAAAACTTTGCTTGATGATGCGTTTTTGTTTTATTTCTCTACATAGACTTTTGATAGCAGGGTTCAATTTAACTTCCATAACTTTAGCTTTCAGAGCCAAGTTCTGCACCAGAACTACATGGCAACTTTAATTTACATTTCAGAGCCTATAGGAACTATGCAGAGTGGGTGTGTGTTTAAGTAATTATATATGGTTTCCTTGTTTTTTCTTGTTTTTAAAGGCAACGCTATGGGTTATGTACGAATGATAAGATCTGGTGGACTTCACTGCTGCAGTAGTGCCATTAGGTATTTCTACAAATATTTCATTTTTCTCTTAGCTCCTTCTCTTCCCCTTGCTCTGTATTATTGCTGTTATTCCCTATGCTCTTACCTACTCCCCATCAGTTTTAAAAAGCTCTATTTATATGCTTTCATTTAAGTGTAATTATTGAAGACAGTGCTGAGATTCAGTGCTGTACAGTCATGGACATAAATCACTAAAAATAAAACAATTTCTGTGGAAAAACACAGCAAAAGAGTTAATAGAATGTACACATTAGTAAGACAGTCCATAAGCCAGCAATTTGTGATGTTAAATAATTTCAAGGATGCATTAAGGAAAAATAATACAAACCTTGAGGAACTTGGAAAACACATTCCTTTCATACCTTTTTCTGTACAGATTTTGTCTGTGTTTATGAAAGGTCATTAAAACATAGTAACTTTTACATAATAAGAAATAGTTGCTTTTCTTGCAAATAATAGCAAACGTAGAGTCACCAAGAGTATCAAGTGCTAGAGACAGGAGATGATAGCCCGGTAAAAACAGAAGTACAACTAATGATGTCTGTGTTTAGAAATGAGGTTAATAATGCCTGGATGAGAATGTATGACAGATATGACATAACTTGAATTAGGTTCAAGCCCAGAAGATTAAATTAAGTAAATTATAAAATTAGGGTAGATTAGCTCAACAGACAGTTGAGCATAATCCTAACAAAGAGTAAGTTTTCAGGTTTGTTCCTGATCTGGAAGATATTGTTAACTTTGAAGAGCTGGTGAAAGAAGAAGGACTCTCAGAAGAAACACAAAAAGCAGCAAGGTACACTAACATCATGCTTTTGAGGTCTGGGGCAGGGGTAGGATGAGAAAATTGTCATTTTATGTTTATAAATGCAGCTATTAGTTATATTTGTATGTGTTAAAAGTTCTGCTGCCATTATGCAAAAATATTTGTCGCAAAGCAAAGCAAATAGAAGCAGTTGTTTTGAAAATGTGAAGTAGCATTGATAGTAATAGACCTAGAACCTGATTTCTTGAAGAAATCCTTGTTCAAAGGCTAACAAGCTTTCCTCACTATGTGCCTGAGCTCTACTTTTAAAATTTTCAGGGTCTTGGATAAAAAAAGATGCAAGTGTTCTATTCATAGGCCTTTTTTTGAGACAATGAAATCAAAACCCACTATTCAAATAGGCTGTAGTGGGAGGGTACTCTCCCAAATCCTGGATTGTGGATGTTGGCAAAGTGCAAAGAGAGGGTTGTTATCCCAAGAGATGTGTAAGCAAAAGGATTTTCAGCAGAAGCAGGGAACTCATTGCTCGTCCCTTGCAGGCAGCTGGACTCTGTGCTCAGTGACCTGACCCGGAACTTTGCAGAGGGAACAGAGTACTTCAAAATGCTGGTGGATGTGTTCGCCCCCGAGTTCCGCAGCACCAAGAACATGCACCTGCGGAACTTCTACGTCATCGTTCCCCCCCTGGTCAGTGTCTGCATTGCACTGGGCTTGCTTCAAAAAGGTCTTGTCAGATCAGGGCTGTGTTTAAATGTTTTGAGTTAGACTGTAGTAGCATGTGTGACAGTGCTTTGTGACATTTGTGAGTTTCTTTGTGATTCCAAGACAGCCTTTTGTTCTTTCAGACCCTCAATTTTGTAGAGCATTCGATCAGTTGCAAGGAGAAGTTGAATAAGAAGAACAAAAGTGGAGCAGCTTTCACTGATGATGGGTTTGCCATGGGTAAGTTTCAGCACTCTCACTAACCTTTGGGTAAGCCAACATAATGGACATTTGCAAGAAAAGTTTTGTTTATACTTTGTCTGTTCCCATAATTTAAAATCCCATAATTTATTTGGATTTATCTTTGCTTCAGCACAATGGATTTGAGGGTTATGGTTGTGTTCAGAATTTCCTAAATATGGAATAGGTGTGTATGGGAGCAGACAGTTTGAACATACATTGATCCTTCCAAATTTCTTTCCAAGCTTGTGGTTCTCATCCATATGAGAAGGAATGCAAGTATTTGGAGAAGTGATGTTTTAAAAAAAATTAAGCTTGTTCTTTATTTTGATTTTTCCTGATAGATTAATTGTAAGTTAATAACAATTTAAATTATATTTGCATGGAATTGTTAACTTAGGCTCATCCATTGAAGACATTCACAAAATGTTTTGCTAATTTCATGTTGACTTCAGTACATGGTTTGTTAATGACTAGGTGTGGCTTACATTCTGAAGCTTTTGGATCAGTACCAGGAGTTTGATTCTCTGCACTGGTTCCAGTCTGTTAGAGAGAAGTATGTGAAGGAAATAAGAGCAGTAGCTAAGCAACAGAACGTGCAGTCCACTAATCAAGATGAAAAACTACTACAGACTATGAACCTTACCCAGAAGCGGCTGGAAGTTTGTTTACAGGTACAGCATGGGCCTGGTTATGTGTCCTGGTAACAATTTCTGTTCTGTTTTGGGTTCAGCACTTATTCATCAGAAATAAACTGTTCTGACTGTTCTGAGGGAGCTCATTGAGAGCAATATCCTGAGCACTGACTACAGCAACAGTGCAAAAAGAGCATAAAGACTTGGTGTATGACCTGAGGGGAATATCATTGGTTTTTGTGATATTTGAAAACCTGTTTCATTGGAATTCATTGTCCCATGGAATTTGAAATCTAACACAACTAAACCATAAATGCTTAAATAGGAGAGAATATCTTATGGTTGAACTTCTTATAACAAGGATTGCACATAACGCTGTGGACCCTTAGAGCTGCCTGTGTGTTAATTCTGAGCTGTTAAATTGAATGGTGCATTAACTGTCAAATAGAGGAAAGGTGCATTTGAATTTTGGAGCACAGCAGCTCAGGTTTCATCTGTGGTGTGCTGCTTTTTCTCTCTTGATTGGAGAAGCCAATGGGACAAATCTATGAATGGCTAGTTTTGCAGCTCGTGATTACATTCTGTGGAATAGATAAGGCCCTGTATGCCCTCATGGTTCCCAGGAGTGTGCACTGTTTGGTTCTCTGTTAAAAAAACACATCACTGAACCTTGTTCAGATACTGATCAGGCTTGTGGTTGTTTAAACTATTGGCTGCATGATTTTCCATGGGCTAGTTGCTCTGTTCTCACTGTTGCTACAAACCTCATTTTCAGCCGTAGTAGATCACTGACAGATTTATTGCAGTGACGCTGCTTTGCTTAGGTTGCCCTTTAATGTAATTTGACATTTGCTTTGTAAAATGCATGTGAATAAGGAATGAAAGGAGGAAGATTTTCAAGAGCATTTAAGTGATTTAGATACTGAAATCTAGGAGCCTAAGATGCTCATAAAAAATCCCATTGATATTTGTCCACAAATTTGTGATACACTGATGCACCTCTTTATCTTTTCCCTTAGGAATTTGAACTTCTATATTTCTCACTAAGTAGTGCAAGAATTTTTTTCAGAGCAGATAAAACTGCAGCAGAAGAAAGTCAGGAAAAGAAAGAAAAAGAAGGTGAGTGAATCCTATATGTAGAACATTTTGGCTAATGAGATTGTGTGCCTTAATAGGGGGTTTTTTTTTGTAGCTGCTTCTTGCTCATAGGTTGACTGAGTATTCCAGAGAGAGGTTTATGAGGTCATGGGTGATTTAGACTCAGCAAGAACAGCTCAAGAAGTCCTTCTTTGGAATAAGTGAATTTCAAGCTGGGCTTTTGGGGTGTGGAAAAAAAAAAAGCAACGCCACAGAAGACCCAACTGATGAAAAAAGCCTGGGACAGGGAAAATTGCATACTTGCAGTAATATTAAATTCAGTAACTTCAGCATCATACTTACCTATTCAGTTACCAGTGTTGACAATGAGAGCCTTAGGTGGTGTTAAAGTGGTTTTCACCTGTTGTGCCAGGTGGCTTTCAACTTGCATAGCAGATTATGCAGTTACTATAGATATTATCATGTTTGATATGCTTGGTCTCCCATTGAATTCTATATTCAAAGGATAAGATCTTAATTTGTGGTGTAGTGTCTTGACTAGGTAACACTGGTATTTTGCATTTCTATTCCTGGTTGTATATTCTCCCTCATGAATTCTGAAAGATTCTCTTGGGGAAATTCTTTCCAAAGAAATGAGAATGCTCCTAAGGATCAAGATACAGAAATGCAGTTTGGTCGCAAGTTACTTAGAAACTCAGGGAACAGTAGTATATTAAAAACTGAATTGGTAAATAATTCTCCACTGTACTTCTGACAAAGGCACAGGTGACCTGTGATATTATAGTCACTGGAGAAAAAGATTAGTTTTCTTCTGCACTGGAAAAACAGTTTGTAAAGAAAAATTCTTTTAGCATTAGTTTATATTTGATCATAATCCGTGAAGTTGCTCAGATAAATATTCAGTGCAAGGAAAAAAAACCCCAAATTCAAAGAACTCCAAGCACTGTGGGAAGAATAGACACGCTGCTCTGGAGTTTATAGGAGACCATTCTGGAGAACATCAGCTAATTTATTTTAGGTTAAATATTCTCTGTTGTGGTACCTGTTCAGTTCCCCAGGTAATTGTGTTTTGCAGGGAGAAAAGCTGGAAATGCATGCCAGGGTGGAAAGTTTTGAACGCGGTACTAGTATCTATGCCCTCTAGCATGATCTTTGGACTTGGAGTCTGAAAAGTGTGTGAGCATTGTATATGTAATTTTTAGATAAGTACTGCTGATTGAAGGACCTTTCACCCCAAATATGAATTTCTTCATAGGGCCAGGAATTTTTGTGCTGCAAAGTCAGGTTGCATATGCTGACTATGAAATACAGCATGAGATGTTCCTGTGACATCAGCATCTCTCTCTCTCTATTTATATATATGCTAGAATTTGAGGGGTTTTGTTTCAAATAGAGTGTTAAACATGATCCATGCCTTTTTTTTTTATCTTTGTAGAAGAATCTGGTAAAGCAAGCAATGGAGATCTTTCCAACTCTACACCTGCAGAGCATGTTGTGAAATGACATGGCTGGTATGGGTGATGATTACTTACTCAAATAACTTGTGTCCTTGTCTTCATCAATAACACTCTGTAGGGGTTAAAGCTCTAGATTTGATTTACTTGCTCTGTTAAATCCAAGAGAAAATGTACAGTAGCATACTAGCATCCACTGGGGCTAGGTCTATGTTTGTCTATATTTTCTGTAGAAACTCCTATTTTTCAGGAGTTTGCATTATTTACAGCACTTTCTCTAGATTGAAAATAATTTAATAAAATGTTGACCTTGGGGGTAGTTATGTTAAAGTACAGATGTGCAGATAAAAAAAATCCTTATTAATTTCTAGATGCATTCTCGCATCTCTATCATAGCATTTTAAAATCCCAAACTCATAGGCTGTTGGTCCAAGGTTTGAACTGGCATCTCTTCAACCAGAAAAAAACCTCAATCCAGATATTGGCTGTATCTGTTGTCCAAAAAATAATTGAGACATGTCATTGTGCAGTCCTGTTGCATTTAATGCAGTCACAGATTACACTGTGGGTGTAACAGTGTGTGTTGTGACTGTATGTTAAATCTGTTACACAAAATGGAAGTGCTTTTTACTGTTTTATTCCAATCCCCCTTGTTATTACTATAGACAGTATTTGTACTCTGGGAACTTAGGATCCCATCAAACATTTATTTCCCCCTGTTTTTGCCCCCTTATCAAAGAATGGGAAAACAAGAAAAGTGAACATAACAAATTACTTCTCATTTCATACTGAAGGTCTGATTTGCATCTGCAGAAGTAAGGAAATCCAGAGCCAAGATAAAACCACAATCAGCTCTTTCTTTCATGACCAGACACTGTGATAGGTGTCTGTAACTATTAAGTGATCTTACAGTTCATGAACATGTTGTGCCTAATTGCAAGTTTCAGCCTCAATTCTGTATTTCCTAGCCTTTGTAGGTCTGTTGTACCGTGTGTTGTTCATACAGTCTTACATGCCTGATTATTAACAATAATTGCACTGCAGGCTCAGAAGCTGCTGAACACTGTGAGAACTTTATTTAACATCTGTCCATGCCTGCAAGTAGAGGTTCTAGATTGTGCAAGAATTACTCAGATTCCTAACTTAAGTAGCTAGACTTAAAAGAAAACACCACCTTTATTAAAATATACAGGTGTGTTTTAATCTCCCAGAACATGAACACCCTTCTAGTTCTTACCAACCAGAACTAACTACTCCAGTCAGTCCAGCTGAGAGAACTACCCTTGGTGGGGGGTTTTTTGGCACTCTTAAACTATATTTTTAGGCCAAACTTTCTTTAATGCTTCTTTTAATGGTTCAAATTGTTCCACCCACTCTTGGGTCATTGGTTCAAGCAAGTCCTGACGTGCTTCTGATTCGCCCTTTTCTGCCAGTCACTTCAACATTCAGACAGCAAGGATGAATGTTTTGTCGCAACTGGAAAGACCAGACTGATACGAACGTTCCATTTGTTGGTTCTGAGAACATGACACACAAGCTTCATGGACTGTTAAAATCAGCTGGGCTCATTAAAGTTTTTATTTTTAGTTCATGATAACTGCCCTAAAGAATGCTGCATTACTTGATTTATATTTTTGCTTTTTTACTTTGATACGGGGTTTTTTTTTTAAATGAGTGTACAGTTTTTTTGACCAAACTGTGCCCGCACTGAATGCTCAGTAGCATTGCTGAGATCAGCATTCTTGCTGCTGCTTTCCATCCTGCTGCAGTTGCTGTGCACATCCTTCCGCATTCCCATCTCTGCTGAAGTCACCTAAGTTTGTGGAGTGGAATGGCCAAGTGCTGCATTTCCTTCTTCCACAGCAATGGCAGAATCACCTGCAGATGGTGTTCCTTTCCCCAGGATGGCCTTGCTGGGGAGCTGTGTGGAGTCAAGACACAACCCACACTCTAGTCTGTACTTGTATTTTCCCTTCTCCATTTTTTCTTTTGAAAGACATTGTCTTGCTAAGGTAAGACTTCGCAGTTGAACATAACATGAACTGAGCACTGCCTTCATGTACAGTGGTTAGCAAATTCATGTGGTTCTGGTGATGGAAATTCTAGAGGAAAGACGTAGCCTATTTTTATAGATGCCTGTTTAATCTGGGAGAACTGAATGTATACTCTGTGTGGCAAAAATATATACATACACAAACATGTACAGTGATAATAGAGCTATTCTTGCTAATACAGGACTGTAGTTTGTATTTCCTTCTTTCTCTTTGTCATGTAGCAGCATAGACATGCAGAAAGATTTTTCTCATCTGAAATCTAAGGTGGGTTCTGGGTTTGGATGTCACGTGACTGAGTTGCATTAAGTCCTTTTTTTCTCCCAACAAGGATATGGCAGGGGGGCAAAATTCATGCTGTGGTGCTACTACTCTTTCTGTTGCTTTTGGCCTCCTGTTAAAATTACAGGAACCAAATGGACCCTAACTGGTTGTCTGGAGAGGAGACAATGGAGCTAAAACAAAAAATCCCCTAAACTAGCCCAAACATACTCACTCAGAAATTCCCAGGAGTGACAGAAGTGAGGATGATGAATTTTCTGCAGGGACATAAAACATGTCTAGGGGCTTTTTCCTTTGGGGAGGGGTTGGAACAGGCTGAAGGCCAGGCTCTCACCCCCAGCAGGCAGCTGTCACCACTGCCTTCAGGTGTTCAGCCTTGTGCCAAGGCTGCTGGAAGTGCAGCAGCTGCTCTCTGAGGGGTTGCGGACACCCAGCTCCCTGTCAGCCCTGCCACCAAGGGTTTGCATGGCCCCAGCAGCTGCAAACTCCTGGTGCTGAAGGGCACCTTCTGCAGGTCCTAATGCAGCCTGGAACGGGGAAAACATTTGAGTTGCATCAGACGTCCATCAACAGCTGTTTTCAGCTTCTCAGGTACAAAGGACCAAATGTAATACTTAATGTTTCCTAACTCATTGTACAAAAGGGTATTTTGTTACTCCAGTCTCTTTGGTTTGTGAGTAGAGAACATTATGTACATAAAACTGTGTTAATAAATGCGATTTTGAGAACCTCATTCCCAGTGTTTTCAGTAACACCAGTTCAGTGGGTGTTATAAGACAGCTTCAGCTTTTATTTACAAAGAAGTCTGTGTCAGTTACTAACAGTTTTCTTCCATGGTACTTTTAAACATTAAATAACCAGTTAAGTTAGATTTATTCCACATCAAACACTTCCAATCTGGGATCTTTCAGATACTGTTGCATAGATTCTGCTTATGGAAAATCTAGTTTCTTGATGACTGAGAAGAGTTAAATTAAGTTTGAGGAATTTCAGCCATTTTTTCTAGGTACCTCATCTTGATTAATATAAATTACACTACAGATTACACCCCTCCCCCCACTAACAGCTCTTTATTTTGTCTATTTTGTTTGTTCTTGCAAAGTGATGTTGCTGATGTTTTCAGGATGGAAAAAAAATGTAAACTTACCAGCCAAATCTCTCTAGTGTCCAGTCTCAGGAATGTACTATGAGACTTGTCAATACATTGTAGGCTTGTAATCTAACATTTTATTGCTCAGTTTCTTAAAACCAAGGGTTGCTGATAAGACTCAGCTGTTGCATGTCACCACAATGTTAAATATACAAAGAATTCTTACTATGAAAGTACTTATTTGTCCTACTATCTCTGGCAAGAAGCCTAACCGTAGAAAAACTGCACACAGCTAACATGCCACATTTGTTGCCTACTTCTGAGGTTCGCATGTCAGTGGTATTTAGAATAATAAATCAAGAAGGTACAATTTTTCCATTATTTAATTACAGAATGTGAGAGTGCAGTCCCCTGGAAGGTAAGAGTAGGCACTTAAATTTGTTTTGTAAGCTTATTCTAGATGCAATATAAAAATAGATTATATTAATAGGAAAAATTTAGTGTTTAACAAATTGTTTTGTAAATAGGCTAACACAAAAGGTAAATTTTGTTACACATAAACTAGACTAAAAATAACTTCATCTGAAATAAAGTAGATAGTGCATTTTTAACCTTCATTCAGATGCACATAATCATGCAGACTATGAAAACTGACTATGATGGGAAATTTGAGGCCTGATATTTGTAAGAGGAGCTGGCAGCTCACACGAATTTCAGTGGAATGAGAGGCTGCAGGCTCTGTAAATGTAAGAAATACCATTAACCCTCGGTGGCTGACAGCTGTGCTCTCCTGCCCACCAGCAGCACTGGCCTCCTGCGCAGGTCTGTCAGCTCCCCAGACACAGTTCCACCCTACACATTCACAAATGCTAAATGCCTCGAGTCCTGCTGTGCTTTCACTGTAAATCCAGAGGGACTCTGCTGCAGAGACACCACTGCTCTCCAGCAGGAAAGAGCAGCTGGCTGCAGGTGACTGAAAACCAGAGACTCTTGCAAAAAGACTCCCTGCTTTTCTGCTCCCACACAGGCGCAGGAAGTGACAGGAGCTGCTTATACTTCTGATTCCTCCCCTCCTTCATGCATGGTTCCATCCTCTTCTGACAAGTCATTCAGAAGCATGAACTTCCCATCATTTGTTAACGGCACAGACTTCATTAGCTGAGCTAATGCTTCTGGATCCTGAAGAAAAAGAAGAGAGGTCAGCAAGCTGCAGCAGCCTTTGAGGAACACACATTTCCCAGTACTTCCTGCTAAGCTTTTGCAACTTTGTTTTTTTTTAACAAGCTGTAGAATAAAGATTTGAAACATAAATAATACCTTTTTAGGTAAGTAAAGACAACCCTTGAGTATTTAAGAAGAAAAAAAAGTAATTATTTTGAGCCTTTATTTTGTTGTTCTTTAGTTACTGAAAAGCAAGGAGAAAAGTAACTGTCTGAAGAATTTATTATACATGTGCTTAGTGGTTGTGACTAAAAGCTCATTCCCCAACTGGTTCTGAAACCTTAGCAGCAAAAATATACTGCAAATAATAATGTCACATCTATATAGATAAAATATATCCACAAGGGATAGGGTAACTCTGCCATTCATTTTAAGTGGAAAAACACTGATTTTCATACCTAGGTGAGGGAAGAATGTAAGTTTCTAAAAGTGAAACAGCAGTGTGTGTGATTTACACATCATCCCAAAGAGTGTGTTAGTTTTTTGAAAACTTTGCTCACAGCTTTCTTTCAGACGTGAACATTTGGATTTGTGTAATTTTGAATTTGGACTGGGGTGGCATGTTTTCTCTCAAATCACATTACTGAGAAATCAAACAGTTTATTTTTGCTATGTTAAATAGTGCCTGCAAAACTTTGTCCTTAGGAGGAGTACCAGTTCATTTTTCTTATGCACACCAGAAGTACCTGGACAGTGCAGCTGAAAACCAGAACATGACGTATCATACAGATGTGGGGAATGAAACAAACTTACCTTCTGTGCCTCAATAATTTCTTTTCCCAAGCTAATGGCATAGCAAATCTACAAAGAAGAAACACATGTAAAGTTCCATTCAGTTCTGGTTTGACTTTTTGTTCCTTGATTAAGAGCAAACCACACAACTGTCAGTGCAGACTTAGTGTTAAAACCAGGCCTAAAAGCAGGTGGAATACCAATTTGCTAAGCTAACTACTGGTAAAGAAAACTATCTCGGGTTCAGCTTCAAAGCTCACAGGGGATGGTAAATCTTTGTACTCAGCTTGGTCAGTTTTAGTCATCGGACTTTATTTCCACACTTGAGGGAGTGCATGTAAGTGTTTGTAGGGACAAAAGTTCTCCATCCCACTTATTTCTGTTAGAGCAGGCAGCAGTCACTGGTGTTAGTACATATGGCTGCCTTGTCTGTGAAAGCTTCACAGCTGTACATGTCTCAATATAGCTGATGTTCCTTTTGTTAGTGCTGCTGCTGGACAGCACTTTCCCATCTCTCTTAATGCTGGGATTAGCAATCCCATCCTTTCCTCCTTATACTTGCTGCTGCATTATCTGTTCATTTGGTCCCTTTTAGATATAAGCCAATAAAGGCTTGCATGTTAACATGTTTTCTTGGCCAGAAATTGAGCTGCTCTTGTTTCTATAGCACTGTTTCCCAGATGTGTAAGCCAAGAAGCCACAGACCTGTTTTCTAAACAAAGAATTTTATTAAACATTACACAAACCTTTTCCCCTTCTGTGTTGCTCTCAAAAACATATGCGCTCATGGATTCTTCTCCCAGAGTCTCACTGAGGTGGATCACAAAGCCAATCAGTCTCCTGTTCTCCTGATGGGCAGCAAACTGTGTCACAGTGGTGAGTTCAAACTGGAAAAGTAAAATAAATGACTTATTTGTTTTAACCAGCTCATGTTAGCAGGTTAGCTCAGGTTCATGTAACTGAGTAGTCACTGCTGTGATAAAAAGTTACTTACGTTTGCTCGTGTAACTTGGGTTTGAGGATCTATTAACCTGCAATTACATGTAAGGAAAAAAAGAAGAAAATTATTTTAGAGTGATTTCTGGTAATTTTAAGGGCTTTTATAATAGAAAAGCAGTAACTCCAGCAGTTTTACAGATGAGGAAATATATGCACAGAATCAGATGCTTTAGCTGTGATTGGCAAGATTCAAATCTCAGCCTTGACTCTCAGCTGCCTGACAGGAACAGGTCAGAGCACCTTTCTGAGTCACTTGGAAAGGATCCTGAGTGCATGAGCTAACACAAATGCAGAGGGACATAAACACACCCCACCTAAAGGGAATGTCTGACATCAGCATATTCTACAGTGACACTACTGTCAAAGGACATTGTTAGGGAAGAGATTTTGCATCAAAACAATCATTGTTTTGCATCTTTTGTATCTTTGTAGGGTCTTATAGCCCCACTACATCCCTTAATTTCGATAGGACATTCTTACAAATTGGTCTGGACAATCATTTCTAGGTACCACAGAGTAAGAAAAGAGACATTTCTTTCTAGGTAAGGTGACTCTTGGGATCTTACTTCCTCAAAGGTTGTGTGTCTTAGAAAAACAAAACCAACAATACATAGTAAGTCACGAATTGTATGAAGAGAACAAGACTATTGACAAGTTAAGGCTTTTACAATACCTCAGGTTCTTGCTGGTGACCATGAGGTGGGATTCAGTCATGCGGAAGATGTTGTGAATGGCCCGAGCAGCCAGCACTTGTCTCATGGCTTCGTAAATCACCTCGCACGTCTCATCGGACTGGACAGCCATGGACCCTAAAAACCGAACCACGAACATCTGCTGCAGCAGGGAATCTGCAAAAGAAAAGCCACGACTTCCTTCACTGTGCTATTTCAATTTTCCAGTAGCTCAAACTATCAATGGAATTATTTTATTCACTTTGGAAATTCAACAGTAAGCCTGTGGTTGGTGACCGTCATGAGTGGTGGCTTTCTGCCATGAGTCACACAGTGCCCTGACCCAGTTTCACACTGTGTGAACAGGCAGCAGTGTGGAGGTGGGGAAGGAAGTTACTGCAGTTGCAGTTGGAAGCTTTAGAAGTGTGGAAGTCCTTTATGCTTCATTTGATCAGCTAGTAAAATTCCCTTGCCTGTTTAGCTATTAGCATGTAAACTGTGATGAATTTATGACTGGGCACAAGCCTTGGCTTCCATTAAGCCTTGTACATTCTTCCCTTTCTTCTATATCCTTCTGACCTTCCATGCAGCTGGGCCCAGTGAGGTTTTCACCAAATCCTCCCTGTTCCTTGACTGTCACTAGAAGATTTAATGACAACTAAGCAGCCATTATGCAGCAAAGCCATCACTTGATCAGGCTCCCTTTATGTCTGGTGGTGAGCAAGGGAAAGCAGGGTGAATGTTCAGAGCAGTAGATACTGCTTTGGTTCTGAGAGCAGTTTTCTGACAGGGCTGTGGGTTCCAGGCACAGGAGAAGAGGAGAACAGCCAGGGCCAAGCCCTACACATGCAAGTACAGGAAGGTCACTTTATTATTGGATCTGTTACTTCTGCTCCACGGTGTCAGGTGCTTTTCTTAAGAGACACTGGGTAGCTAAAATC